GTACAACGTTAGTTATATTCAACTGTTTTATTTAAAAACACTTCCGAATCATAAATATCTAGACATGCATACGCCTTGAAGGTATGCCCCGAAGGTGCCTATACTTTACTACGTGATAAGACATACATGATGTTTATTGTACGAGATACTGTGTTGTTCGATTTTCCGATTATTGTTAACCGACAAAACGCCGTCTATCTTTTTAACTAAAAATCTCAAGAAATTTGAAGGGACTTTACGGCGCTGTCTTTGACGAAGTGACTTAAGGCCTTACTCGCAGTTTTAGAATTCGATTCTACCATTCTTGACGTACTTACGATCTTAAACATCAACCATTTAGCTGCGGTACGCTTAAAATAAAAACCGTCCTCTGTGTGCAGAACGCGTACAAGTTACACAAGTCATTGAAACACGATCGATTTTACTAAAAGTAAATACGTGCGTGAATACGTTTAATGCCCCATACAAGACATTTGTTTATGAACGTGGTGTTACAAAAGATTGAAAAAAAAAAAGTTGCAAACGTCATTCTATTGCAAGTGTATATTTTCAGAAAACCTCAAAAAGTAAATAGTAACAATATAGAGTAAATAAATGTAATACATTTTTAGTTTAATTAGATAAATTATCAAACATTAACCGATAGTCAAATCTATCAAAAACAGATTTTGTAAAGCATCTATTATATTTTATCAACAAAACACCAGTGTAACGGAGAATCTGCTACCAGAATATGTAGACAGATTGCGTGCAAAAACCGAGTAGAATACACACATGCACATGTGCGTTTTCCGCAGCTAAAAAGTTAAGAAATTAAGATATCGTGGTAAATAAATATGTGCCGTTTATTTCTCTGACAATGGGAAATATAAAAGAAACACACAAGTCTCAGACTCCTTCTAGTTCTATGGTTTTCAACTGATGCTGTTGATACTTGTTGCCACTTTACATTTAACGTAAGCTTCGCTTCTTTTCAATAGATATGTATTGCGGATTCGCGTTGTCGAATTTTTTTTGCGACGTAAACGTACGATATTGAAAACTGCGTCATGTTAGAATGGGAAATGGAATATATTTTTATCCGAATAGAAGATTTTTCCACGAATGCGTGTTACTCAGGAATGCACGCGAAATAACGTAAGCAGATTCGTGTTGGGGTAGTACAATAGTAGTGAAACTACGAACGCGAAGTGAGAAGAATGTTTCGTGCTTTACTTACAAAACTGGAAAATATTTTTTATTTTGATCCATAGGATATCAGATTAGCGTGTGTACATCGAAAGTTATTGGTGCGTAAATATATTACGATCAACAACCGTCTGATTAACATATATATATATATATAACTTTTTATTATCATATTTATATAGGTTTCATTGATATATGTAATATTCCATCCAAAAAAAAAACTGATCAGAAAAGAAGGAGTTAGGACAATATCGCGCACGCGTGTAGAAGTACGAACGCTGCGGCAGTAACATATACGAGATACATGAGCCAATAGGCTTGTTCGTTTTAGCTGAGCTTCTTGCACACGTCATCTTTCCTCTTTTCTTTTCCACATTGGAGAGAAAAAGAGAAAAGATGAACTGTGCAAGAAGTTGAGGTAAAACGAACAAAATCAATATATAATGCGGATTCCGTCAACAATATAGATTACAGAACGTAATAGATGTAGAAAGATTCGATCTCCATTTACGTTTGAACAAGCAGACGACGAGACTACCACACGTATAAATACGAATACAAATAATAAAAGCGCAAGAAAGGTACTGGATTAAAGTATAGTTTACATACGTACATCTCTCTGCTCGTGGTTATCCAGGCAGACAGATCTGTTAAAAATAGATTTTTTTAAAATGTCTTCTACAATAAATTTTATCGATAGGATATCAGCAAAAAATATGACAGAATCTGCTAGTAGACGTTGGTGGCACATTGACAGTAGAAACCGAATATAAAATGATTATACATTCTGTTTAAACATTCTATTTGCTTTCTGCTAGCACGTCTGCCATCAGATTATATCCGCAGATTCTATTGACAGAACATAAACTTAATATGGGCGCAGTTGATTCCAATCTGCAATATTCTGCTCAAATATAATTCTGGTGAAAAAATTCTCACAAGTCATATAATTATCATAATATTTTTATTATAATATTTCTTATAAGAATTATTCATACTTTTTAATGAAGATTTCTGAAAAAATACCTTATACTTTGTTAAATTTTTCAAGTTTTCTCCGGAAATATTATAGAACAACAAATCTAAGAATATTCATTTTAATCCAACAAAATTTTAGAAAAAGATACAGACTTGTAGCATTTTTGAAAAAGATTTCACGTCAAATAAAACATGTAAGGACGTGTTTAAAAAGTTATGACGTTACACGGAAAAATTCTGAAATTTATGCAGAAATCCTGAAAAATTGTATGAAGACGTCCAAGAAAAATTTTCACCATTGATCTGCTGACAAACTGCTAGCGTACTGCTAATATTTTGCTTGCTCTTGAGTCTCATTATTGTCAGCATACATATAATACTCATGTTATTGTATAATCGAGAGCAAAGAATACTGTCCTGTTCCGATGCAATAAAATTAAACTGCATCGAGTTTCCTCCTCGATGACCGATCAATCAACCATGTACCGAAAGAAAACGCGCGGTAAGATTTGTAAAAAAAAGAAACTCGGTAAAAGCGCGCAGTTTTACTCTTTACACCTAACGCGAACAGCATTTTGCTCGCCACTGCGTATTATCGCGCACATTTTAAGGTATCAGACGTATGTGGAATCTTGAATTCTACATGGAATTGTTAATAATTTTAAAATTAATTTTTAGCCTGATATAAAAGTCGAATATTGTTTACGTATTTGCATACAAATATAAACATATTTATATCTACGCATATATACGATACACGATACAAGTAGAACATTTTTCCAAAGTTCTTATTACGTGGAAAATTTGAGAATGTGTTTATATATATTTATCGTTTCGAAAAAAAAAAAACATGGAAAACATTTTTTATGTTTAATCTCAATGTAAATGTATTGTCTTTTGTTTAATCGTTTGCAACACACAAGTTGTGTAAGTAGCACAACACCTTTTAAAGTTAGTCATTTGCTAAAATATTGAACACACACGCACATACACACACCTTGATTCATTTTTAGTGTAAGAGAAACATGATGAAAACAACAGCAAGCACCTGTGTGCGGTGCTCTGTAAACTATACTTTTACTCCCTTAAGAAAGATTCCGTTCATGTACAAGATATTATAATAATTATATAGAACGTGTTGAAAACATTCAATAATTTTAATTCCAACATGTAAAAGCAGTCACACATTTTACGTGTACTAACATTGTTCATGTATATCATGTATTGACATGTATTTTTTTATAAAGCCAGATACGAATAAATTCAAGCTTTTACGAGGTGTTTTTGCTTCTATCACGCATCCTCTGACGTTTCCCGACGGAAACCTCTGTCAGATTCTTCGTTCATGTTAGTTGTTTTTAATTGTTACGCTCAAGTATCATGAAATACATGCGCATCGGTAGAGAATATAAAATAGACTGGTACGTGGTAGAGATAGTTACAGTTTACATTTCCCGCCAAAAGTATCAGAAGCCTTCTCGAAGTCCACGTCATATTTATCGATTTTAAACGCGGGAAGAGCAAGGAAGAAGTCGATACTCGACTCCATCGACTCAAATAATCGGCCGACATACGTCGGGATCGTCGGGATGATGCTCATGATTCACGGCTACGCCGCTACGGGAGTACAGTACAAGTTTACTCTGATTTATTCGAACGACGATGCCGTATTGAGTGGTATCGCGTTTCCGTTGACATCGTCCAAGGTCCACTACTTGATTCCGATTAACGTTATCCTTCGTGTACGCGCAAGGATGTCCGTAAGTTGCGAGATTGTATACCTCTCACTTTTCTATAACCTCGTTGAAACGTGAATCCTCGAGTTAACCTCACGATCACGATTTTTCTTACAGGCGCCGAAACAGGTAACTCATCACTCGCGTACGTCTGAATTAATCACATTCACCTCTCAGCATACCTTTCCTATTTTCTGTAGCAACAGAATGTCGAGCATAAAGAGAAAAAGAGAAAAGAGAGTATTCTTGATCTGTCCAAGTATCTCGAGAAGAATATAAGGGTGAAGTTTGCCGGTGGCAGAGAAGCCGAAGGTATACTTAAAGGTTATGATCCTTTACTCAACCTGGTACTCGACAACACAAAGGAATATCTCAGAGGTGATGTGTATAATTAATAATAATAATATACCATTTTTAATTTATTAGGGCGCGTATAGATTGTGACGTATAACCTTATTTTACATTTTACATTGTTTTACATTGCATCTGCTTAATGCTTCTTTAGTGTGTATTTTAACTCAAGTATAAATATGCATAATCCTTTTATTAACTCTACGTTACTTGCGTGAAGTGTAAGATACATTCCAGCCTTAGAAATCCTACTAAATTTACAGAGTAAAACTCTCTTTACCTATTGAATGCTGCACGACATGCCTTACAATTAAAAAACTTTTGCGCTTATCTTTATCTACAAGATATATAGAATATCATAAATCTTTATTTACGTGTAAATCATCAAAGAGAACAATGAAAATTGAGATAAAATATTGGGGTGTTGAATACAAATTTTTTTTTTACGTGCATGTATATATTATTTTTTATTTTTAATTAATCTTGTAACACAAACAAATTCTCTTACGTATGCAGATCCAGATGACCCATATAAATTGAATCAAGACACTCGTATGCTAGGTTTGGTGGTGTGCAGAGGAACATCCGTAGTGCTTATCTGTCCTGTAGATGGCATGGAATCTATTCAGAATCCATTTATACAACAAGAAGGATAGATGGGGAGGATTTTCACAATCAATATGTGTTACATCTTAGAGGTGAACCATTTAATCTTGAATATTATTTCCATCTTTATAAATAAAAATATAATTTATTTTTTGCATTATAAAAAAGCTTACATATATAGGAAATAAAACCCATTTTCTTATAAAGATACATGTTTTCATGTCTATGTTTACAATAAATAATACGATTGCACGTCTAAATAAGGTACTATGTGAACTCTCGATTATATACAAGCAGCATAGGGTTACAAGTCCTATAGGTCGCTTTTACTATTTTTATTCAATCCCGAATTCATTTCTCAGCCATGGATATTGTTTCGGACATTCAAAACATGTATGTAAATACCTATATGATTTGAGCACTTTACTGGATAATTTGCAACTATTTGGCAAGTCACAGGCCATCTCATACGGTTCAAAATGTCGCTTCGCGCACTGCCACGGTGCAAACTTTTCAATTTCACTCAGGGGTGTTGGTCTGCGCATCCATTCCACAATCTGCGTACTCGTGATGAAAAACACGTCGTCTAGCCGAAGTAGATCGTCGATGAATTTCTAATTACATATGAAAATAAACATTATAGTTTATAATTTAACAGAAATAACAAAGTTTATCATATTAGGTAAATTATAATAAGTCAAAAAGTAAATTATAATAATCTTAAATGTTTTCTTACTGCTATAATTTTTAGTACTCTGATTTTTTTTAATTAATCGCATAAAATTAAATGCATAAAAATTGATATAGTAGATATTCTCCTAAAAGTAGAATAAATAATGAAAGTATAATAGTAATAAATATGAGATCAATAATCTTGTTTGTGTTAGTCAATAATAAGCACCATCGATTTTTTAATAATGGATAATGTTTAAAGTCCTACTTACATTGAATGCATAAAAATACATTGGATTTTGAAACCACGATGCATGAAAATGTAGACCGAAAGGTGCGCGATTAGTGAGATAATGTCTTTTAAAATTCAGCATGAGCATCTTATAAACTTCTTCGCCAGATAAGTCAGGGGGACATGAATCCACAGTGCTGCACGTGTAATCCTAAATAAAAAGTCGATAAATATTGCTTCTATAAAATAAAGATAAAAAAGAGTAGAAACCATAGTACGCTGATAACGGACAAAAGTATTAAAAAGTAATACGTAATTATCGATTAATTATTATTAAGAGTATTTTTTTTATATTTTAGATCGCTTTCAACATGGAAAATATAAAACAAGTTTACAGAAACTAGAATAAAAAGAAAATTTGATAATATCGATTATAAGAACTTTCATCAATCATTCGATCTTTCTACGCAATGCAGAAAGATGAAATTTCATTGTCATACATTAACAATCTTATATTAAAGTAATCTCGGCTTTTTGTCTTTATTTGGTATTTATCGATAACGTTCCATTCAGTCGCATGTGACTCACGTACATTTGCCAAAAGTTGATTTAGAGGTAGTTCCCAGATACCCGGATAAGAACGAGTAGGGCAGAGTTGTCCTGCACGGACGCACGGATGCGGTGGCCTGTAGTCAAGCGTGTAGGGCCAAAAGGGTGGATCGGAAAATGGTGCAACGATTGAGGAATCGTAAACAAAGCCAAACTCAGACATCATCAGAAACTGGCGATTCCACCCGACCTGTAGAAAAGGCGCCCTTACCCCTATGACATAACATAGCGTACTTAATAATAAATACTCTTATATTCTCTTGAACAAGACCAGCGTACGTTGAAAAGATACATGCAATATTTGTTACACGTCACGTATACAACGACAATACAAGTATGCATGCAAGTTCTGTTAATAATCGTGACATAGGTCTTTTCTTTCCTTCAATTTGATCTTGATATAATATCGAATTAAAATAAAGATTTCTACCTTTGATATCGGCGATACGAACCGCTGCATATTTCTTAATGATGTTCGCTATTCCGACCATCTCGTCGAACCAGTCCTCAATCGTCGCATTCTTCGACCACCATTCTTCCGGTCCACGATGTCTGAGAAATAATGTCCGATCCATTTTACGTATCGAATCAAACAATTCTTTATGACTTTCTTTATTACAGCTTCTCTTTTGCTTTATATTTAAATTATATACTATACTTACGTAACGGAATGTGCGGCTATTTCGTGACCGGCATTCCATAAATATTGCACATCCCTGTAATTCGTGTATTGATGACTAATATAGAAAGTACCTTTTATAGGACAGCCCGTGGGATTTTTTCTGTCATCCGTAAAAATTTCTGTAAATGATCCAACGATTATTTTCTATGATAATTTTTTTTTTTTTTTGTGAAAAAAAATCCCTATTATTATGAGATAAGGATAAAAATATTAGCATTAATATACTGACGTATTATCTCTAGACACGTTTGTGTTGACTCTTAAAGTTATTGCAGATTTATTCAGATCTTTTAAATAAAACAGAAAAGAGAGAAATGAAAAAAGGAAATGATGTGAATACGTTAATTTAGTCGATTAACTTCTTATTAACTTACTTGAATAGAGTTGGAAATTTTCAGCATTTACAGCGTCGTCGAAAGTGATTGTTATCATTTGTGGAGTGGCTAGTGCTGTAAGATTTCCTGGAATAAGAGTCCCTTCCTTAGAACACCAACACGTTGGTAACTGGCATTTCTGCGTGTCGCAAACTGGCGCGGCATTGATATCATGTCGCATGTCTGTAACAGATTGATATTTTTATTAACAGCTGACATGCATAATGTCATTTTATTTTCATGGTGTGATCGAAAACTAAGAGTGCCATTTTTCATATATTTTCCACGTTATGAACAAAAGCACATTTTCAAGATTCGAACGTACTTTACTAAATAATATAATTTGGGAACGTATAAAATACTAAACTTTTTCCGTTTGATTATTTTTTTATGCCGCGACAAACATATAATTTTAGTTTTTCTATATTCAAACATTTAATTTAACCGTAATATTTAATTTTTATCTCAATAAAACTGTCTATAAATAAAATCATTATTTATTGAAGAATCTGGTGGTTGAAGTAAATGCCCTCAGTGAAGAACGTCTTTTATAGGTGCCAATAAAGAGCTCGATATAACATATGTTTGCGCATTCTTCGCATTTCTTACCGCACCATCCTTCGTCGGAACCATCGGGACAATCGACACTCCCATCGCAAAAATATAGAGCCGGAAGACACGTGCCATCTCCGCAAGCCAACGTGTCCTCGTCACACTCGCCATCCTTGAGCAGCGGCTTTGCCGGTTGGGCATCTACGAGAAACTTTGAAAACTTCACATCACCATTCGGTACATAGTTGATAGTAACTATACTTCTTTAAATTACGAACATAAAACATAACGTGAAGACAGTTCTTCCATCACGAGAGAGGGTTTAATTTTACTAAAAGATTAAAGCAAGAATTATGTAGGTATGTGTGTTGCGTATATTTTACTTGTAAAAAAGTTAAAATATGCGTGTTTGTATTTGATGTACATTTGCATCTGTGGCTATAATAGCGTTCGTTGCATTAAATGTCTAAGCTGTTTAAGGATACTCTAATGACACATATGTTCCAAATTGGAATTTCCAATAAGAGATTTAATGCTCACAAACAAAGAAATGACTAACTTGTCACCGTTGTGTGATTTTCCGGGTGAAAGTATTGCGTGTATAACACTCGATCGCTTTCTTAAGAGTAGAAATCGGCATAAAGTTTGCCAGCGTTTGTTTGTAATTGCAGGGCCTTCTCAGAGCCTTTCGTTCGCGCGTGTTTCCAGTAGATTTAGCATAAATATCTAAAATGTACCTGAAGTTACGTCGCAATTATCGACGTTTGTCTTAAAATCACAGATCTGCCTGGAGACATCGAAAAGAAGTCCTTGCGAGCACTTGAATTCGAACACTTCGTCATCTGAAACACGATTTAACGATGTAGCAGATGTATATCACACAAATTTTTATTTTATTTTATTATATATGCAATATAAACTTGATATACGTTTTCATAAACAAAACAAGCACAATAAAAATAATATAATAAGTAAAATAATAGAATTAACTATGAATAACAAGACATATTAATGTGCGTGCATTTGTACGTGCAATTTCCACAAGTCTTTGTATTAAAAGAACCTTTTTGAATAAAAGAAAGATAAAGACAACTTACTCCAATGCTCATTCTTACAATGAGCAATGACAGCGCAACTTGATTCTCATATTAAGAATATTTTGCAATTTTTATGTAAACTTTAACAGAAATGTAACATTAGATGTTTTATCTCAAAATATTTCAACTGTGTGTTTTTTAAATATATTTATCGAAGAAATCGAGATAAAAAGCATAGTCGCGGTTTTCTTAATTCTAGTTTTACGTGGAGACGATTAATAAAACTTTAGATAATTTAATCAAGTTTTCCTTTTTGTAATCTATAATTACCTAAGCAGAGAAAATATTTAGCACATTCTGTAGGTGACCAGACGCTGTGCGATGGTGCATTAGGATTACGATAGAACTTGTCATCTATACAAGGAACTTCTCCAGATTTTCCTTTCTCCGCTGCGGTATTTGCTGAAAACATCACGATGTGGAGGTATGAGTCGTGTGACCCACATTTTCCTCGTTTTTGCATATTTAAAAGTCAATAAGCCTTTTTCTTATAAATTAATAAATAATAACACAATATTATTATAAATTTATATTATTATAAATTAGAACTTTCACCTAAAGTACTTGTCCAGCCATACGCCATACGCATGATACAGCAGTATCATTAATTACGCGCACACGCGCGAATGAAAAAATATCAATTGCTCGTCGCGAAATTAGTCTAGGTTTAACAATAATTTTTTGCGACATGAATAGCTTGTCATTTCAATTATTTGTAAAGGCAGTTTTTTTACATACTTTTTACAACGTCCTTCCCGGTTTCTTTCGGCAACATTTGAAGACATTTGATTATTTTTCTTTTTTCTACTTTAAATTAACATCTTAACAAATCTTTTAAATTGTACATTTTATAATAAGACGGAATTAAAATTAAAAATTTGTTCTATGAAGAAAAAGTTGATTTCAGATTTTTAAACTAGGGACAGGAAACTTTATAATTAAAAGAAAAGCCACGATACGTCAAACATCCTGTACAGTTTATGAAAAAAAATATTTATTCTATTGAATCTTCTATTGAAGGGAATAATAATTAAAGAAAAACAATTTTTAAGAAGAGTAAATATTATCGAAGATTGAAACGATTTCTGTCCCACGGTTACGAGATTATCTTTAGGCGCGCAGTACTTTCACGTTCCGTCTGGCTTCAGAAACGGATATCTGTAGCGTGTGATGTACACTTGTTCGAAGAGAAATCTCATGCGATTAGCGCCATCGTTTTCACCCGAATGCAAAAACGGAAATGAAACTTTCGGCGTGCATCATTGTTCAAAGCAAAATTCCAAATCTAATTTGTCCTTTTTCTCGTTCTGCTTATATTTTATTTTGTGATAAACCAAAATTGAAATCGATACAATTTTATGACATTATTTTTCAGTAAATAGAGAGAGAGAGAGAGAGAGAGAGAGAACTTTCTAACACGAGACAGTCTACTTAAGTAAAAGAATTTTTGTTCACATGAAAAAAATCTCATTTTTTCAAAGAATACACGTATTGACTATATTTCAGCCATAATATAACTCCTATTTAAAAAGTCCTTTTTTTTTAATTACATAAAAGATTGTTGTTAAAAACTATTTTATGTTGAAACTTGAATATATTTTGTCTCTCCACACAAAAATACCGTACATTATTTTCTGATCCCACTGATCTCTGACATGCGTAAAGAAAGGATTTAATTAGTTGATCCTCTCTTTCTCTCTCTCTCTCTCTCTATGAAAGATTATAAATTTAAATACCGTTACTTTACCCGTTCCGTTTACTTAAGTAAAAACTTTTACTCAAGTTTTGAAGTTACGTATATTTTTTACAGTTTGGTTTTTTCTTTTTATACTAGAATCACATGTATAATCAGCAGATAAAGTGCGACCTCTGATTATATACCAAAATTAACTTGAAAATTTTGCTTATCTAATATTTAAATTATTAAGTCTACTTAACGTAATAAACTTACATTATTTTTCAAGAGTATACTCTCTCATAAATATCATATAATATAATATAAGTAGTGACACAGATAGTTTTCACCTTTCCACAGCATCAAAAGCTGAACCTATTGATGTCATAACAATATATTTGTTAATAAAATAAGATTTTTTAAATTCTTGGTACTATTATATTTAACGTAAGCTATCCACATTACAAAATTAACAAAACTTGACCACTTGATTAAAAGAATGGATGTAAACAGTTCTGAATAAATTAATGTTTTACAGAAACGTTGTTACAAGTTTGTCTCGATAAGATTTATGCGAACATCTCGAAAATGTCTATAAGAATATACACATATAACGTGTTTGTTGTTAAAAGTTAACACGCGATTGCAGTACAGGGTTGAAACGTATTCCTTTTTACAAAATGTTCTTTTTTTGTCAATATTTATTTAAACAAGAGCCATATAACGTTAATGCATTAGAAATAGAACTTCTGTATTGCTTTTAACGTCAACGCTTTTCTAGACTTTGCGTGACGTTTAATAAACAGGTTGGTGCGCTCGTCAAAGTGAAAAAAAAACTTGCCCTCACGAATACTTTTGAACGTACGAAACTCACCGGAAACGGCGAGCAATGTGATCAGCACAAAACGAAGTCTCCACCACATGTCGATCTCTTGTGCGCGGCGTTGTACCGGTTCCACACGCGACAGCTCACACTTTCAAACTGACGGCTGCCTATACGAAGGCATGCCTTATATGACGAGTATCTGCTTCATCGCGCTTAATCACGCGGATCTCTTCCAGACCGGCTATTTTCACTCGTCTCTAACAATCGCAATACAACTACTTCGAAGACCGTATAATACATTCCTCGATCAATTTGATCGATCAATGGAAATATCGAGTTATCATCGGCTTATTTAACATTACATATACTCTTATAACTAACAATAAACTTTAAATTTTCAAACGTTGCGAAAGTAAAGTCTATTTGATATTAATAAGAACACTATAATTTTGTTATCTTTTACACTCTTGAAACTTACACGTAGTATATAATATCCTCATCTTTACGCGCTACATAACTACTAAAAAAGAAAAAACACGTGCTGCTTTGACATTTTCGTCTCCGATCGAGTAAACGCATTCGTTGAATAGCTACGTTAACATTAATTACGTGCATCAGATAAATCAGATAATTTACTACCTAAAGAACCAATTCTCTTCGAATGATTTTGCTATTTCAAATTCGAATATGTGTTACAAGAAATATAACAGAAAACTAATTGTTTTAAGTTAGTTTATACGTATTATATATACGTTTATTAATTTATTATATATACAAAAATTATATGTAATTCTAATAAATTTTGGTATATTATAATACATAAAAAAGTCCTTCTATTAAATAAAACATTAAATTATTCAAGACACTACAACGTTTCAACTGTCTGCTATTGTCTTTAGCAATATTCAAAATGATTTATAATATAATAAAACGTTTATACACAATAATATTAAGGTAAAACAAGATTAACTTTCCAAGATTGAGTACGTGGAATGCTGCGTCAGTGTTGGATGAAGTTAATTGTCGTATTTATACGTTATTGAGCAACCTTTGGGCTCAGTTTACGAATATTTGGGAGAATTTCAATACCAACCGTTATGTTACTCTGAACCAAATGAAACTCGAGATCAAATTTAACGAATTCTTCAAGATATAGAAGTAGCTGCGCCACGTATCTATAAAATCTGCTCGGAGAATTGGATTAAGATCCGGTATAACGGTATATTAATTATATTAATCAATTTTATTTTTTTTTCTTGTATAAGCGTACGTCTTATATGAGTATCGAGGCGTGTTTACAAGTAGAGCGGAATGCAATGGTTCTCTTTATTGTAGATTTTAGTTTACGTTCTTAATACTTTCTACAAAATTTTATTAAAACTTCCGTTTCCGCTGGATGGATTTGAAAAATATTTTTTTATTCTTTAACAGCTATTTAATTCTTATTTATATTTACGAGAAATGTGCATCGTAAAAATAACCTTTCTCATAAATAGGCATATCATCATAAATGTGTTACAAGTTGGACATTATGTTTTAAATGTATCGATAGACGTGTATGAAAAAACATTAATGTCTTTGACTTTTAACATGTTGGTCAAATCATAAAACATCAAATAAACATGAAAATATTATAAAAATTAATAGATTACAATGTAATTAATATAATGTTATGATATTATGAAATATATAAAATATCAAATATTATAATGTACAAAATACTTGTAAAAAAAAAATCAGTTTTAGAACGTATATCCAATATAAAACAAGCGAACAAGAGATGTGTGTCAAGTTGATAATAATTTAATTTAAAATATATAACGAAACAACGAAACATTAAATCTTGGTCAAAGTATTCAGCTTCCGAAGAAATGTCGCGAGTTACATATGTACAAATAATATTTGACCAATACGTGCAAATCTCTTCCGGTGCTTATTGTTAGTTACAAAGGAGAAGCGTGGTTTTGCATGGTTCTCGTCACGGTACAAATTTCGGGCACAAAGAGTTACGCATGCGGCACTGAGACATCTTCGAAAAGTGATGATGTACTCGAGCTACGTAATTATCTCCTCGCGAGATGAATTGCGCATTTATCACTCTCGCGTTTACATAGTTTTTGATAGCAGATCTGGGCGTAATTATTACCGGGCTGGGCAGGTCGCCAAATAACCGTAAGCCCGTGCATTCGTGCGAAAAGTCATCCATAGCGACGTTTGGTTTGGCAGTCCGCTCTAATTTGCCGTGCAAGTTAATTCGAAAGTATCTTTTAACGTAGCATACGTATCCGATGAATTATCTTGACGTGCATCATGGCTACGAAAGATAAATTTGTCTTCAGAGTTTTCAATACGTAGCGACAAATCATAAAAGCGCTTTTGGATGCAGAATCAATCTTCGAATGTAATCTATGGTTTTATTATTAATTTAAAAAACAATATTTCTTCAACAAAAATAGTGGGATGTTAATGCCCTCGAAATTTTCTGCAAGTGTAAATGCATGGCATATTCTTTACGATTTGCGCAAATCGAGTATCAGTGATGGAAGTATAGATAATAAAATTATATTTTTATTGTCTAATGATACCACATACGAATGGAAGATGGCTATGAAAATCTAATCTCGAATAATAAAAAGTTGGGCAGAGTCAACATTAAATCTTCCTAGAGATCTATTCGAATTTTAAGTGAAAAAAATTGATTTTAAATTATTTAAGTGACTGCACGTGTCTTCTTACCGGTTAAAATTATAAACAGAAAATCCACTATTTTTCGTTCTCTCGTATCATTATTACTGTATTATTTTTACGGGTAATGAAGTGAGACACGAATGAAAAATAAAACAATGCGTTTATATTCTAGATACAGTTGTTGTCTTGCCAAGAATTACTTCACTTTCCTAGCCGTTACGACCGTGCCATTAATCATTCCTGAATATCTTATAGTTTGCAAACTAAACCGTGATTAGAACGTACATACATCAAAATCCAAAGAACGACATTTGAAGAGAAATTTTAGAAAAGAAGATTAGTATCTTTTTTGTATATCTGACGTGTATGAATGTATATAGTATTATGTATTTGAATAAAAATAGTTTAAGTAAAAAACACATTAAACGATAGAAAAATGTCAACACCAGATTTTGTACGTTAAAAAATAATCTGCCTATTTCTTATCGTACCTGTTTAATAGTTTTGGTAATAAACGTACGCGAAACGGTATATTGGCTCGTGATGTCAAATATATTTCCGGGCTGAAGATGTTCTCTCTCGAAGCTACCGTCAAAATGCACAAATACCTACTCCCAATTCTGACACGTGAGCTTATTTACACGCTATCGGCAACAAAGAGCGTGATCACGCGTGTTTCGTGACGATCCACTGTGTCCACCGAGGACAGACCCATGTACGAAAATACATTTACGTGGAGCAAGAAGATAAATCGAGGTGGCGGCGAGAGAGGCAGTCGTTGCTTCGTTGACCTCCGTTCAAATTAGAATAATGCCGCGCGAAGAGAACACCACGAGAGATGAACTGCCTGGCGGAACACGGTAAAAAGTTTTCCTGCAAAGATATGGTTAAATGTCAAAATATAAAGTTTATACTTACAAATTTCCATTGTTGATTTAATCACAATGTATCTACCTGTAATACATTAGTGTTTGAATATACGTGTAGTTGCACCTTTCGTTCACGTTTTTATTCATACATCACGACGGTGCGACGACATATTATTTTCTCTTTTTTTCCCTAAGTTGTATTTTTTGTCGCGTATTTATTTCGTACTTGATATTTCTTATTTTTATTTGCGTATTGTTCTTTATTTCAATTTTTTTTTTCAACCGTTCTACTGTCGGCATCTCGTCTCTCAGAGCTCGAGGTTGTCTCATCTCAGGATCAGGAATACGTGCCAAGCATCGAGAAAACGTACGTAGGTATCTCCTGACAGCCGTGTCATACGTGTCGCGTACGACATACGGCATAGCACGAGGACAAAAGTTCTCGGTCGAGTCCGATTTCAGCGAGACTTGAGTTAACGTCGGACCTCTTCTTTTCCTCCGATCCGTAGGTCAGCTTATTTAGAATTTAGGTTTGCGACGGTCAACGACAATTGGAAAGGCGGAAATAGAGCGGTTCCAAACATTTCGTTCCGCGACCTGTACGATGCAAACGAAGAAAATATAATAGGCGGTACGTGATAATTTTCCCTATTATGTCATTGGAGAATATTTCCAGAAGAGTCAACAGGAGTTAAGGAATAGGCTGCCATTGACCCTTTTTAAATTTCGTGAAAGCCACATTTCTGCATGTCTATCGTGCACGTACATTTATTTTTAATCTTTATTGATAAAGTTAAAATTATATTTTACAGTATAGTGTGTATACTGAGAGAATCTGCTGACAGAATATAATGGCAGATTGGCTGTAGAACCTGAGCATAATCTATCGTTTCGTAACACTATTCAAATAGTGTGTTCCATTAAAATGTATACGAAATGACAGCGTCTATTCGTTTTCTGACAATCTTCTGTCAGATTATATCAGTAGACTCCGCCCGCGCCGGCAAATACGATCGAGTTTAATGCAGACACGGATGATACCGGATCTGTTGTAATATCTGCTGCTAATCTATTGTCATACTGCGGATAGTTTGCTTACTATAGTTTGGGTTCATGATACAAGATATAAGATAATAAGACGATTTATATAAACAAAATATATTTCTTAAACGAATATGTACGTGCACCTTGCACGTGCACTTTTTTTTACAATTAGTGGCAAAATTATGCGCTTTTTGTGATAGATCTACAGACACGTGAAAGGTTTTTTTTTATTAGACCCTTGAACAAATTCTAGGAGAGAGTTCTACAGAAAGCGTGCGCTGTACACACCGTAATGGGAAGATTGTTAGGAAGTGCGACAATAAGTTGGTATGGTACTCGAGTTTAAATAGACAAGAGCTTCTATAAGAAACAGAGTGTAGAACAACTGAGATAAATGAAGGTTTCATAGGACAAATTCGATGGATGTAGTTATGCGCGATACAAATTTCACCGCCATTGTTATCATTATTGTTATCATCGTCACCACTACCACCACCACTACCACCACCACCACCGCCGCCACCAAAGTTTCTTTCCCGTGCAACATCATGGCCTTTGTACCCTTCCCTCAGAGGGGGTAGCCTAAGTTTAGACCCGGCGAGACTCTGGCCGAGTTCAGTATGAAATCACCATCCTCTAGAATCACTTTCTTCGCGCCGGACGTGCTTTCCGCGTAAAAGTTTCATCGCGTGCGTTCCAACCGGCGAGAAAGCTCGTCGTGCGCTTAGAAAGGATTCCGTTTTTTTCGGATCCTAGTGTCCAAGAATTTACATCTCTCGAAGAAAACTAGAAAGGGAATCTGAGAGAGAAAGATTATCGTGCGCACGATGGCGTACAGCTGGGATAATCGTGTTAATTTCATAGTGAAATTTCTGTACGGTTAGTAGATGCAGAGGATCGTGCAAGGGTAGTCGGGATAGATTCAGGGGAGGACAACACGTAGATAGACGATGTGCGTGTATACGAAAAAGCGGCACCGCATGCGCGCTACGAAATCGCGATATCGAAAATTAAAAATAAATGATTTTTTTTGCAAAAAATAAATTTAAAAAATTTAAAATAAACAACGTTTTTTTGTATAAAGTTTTTTTTGGTGCGAAAAAATTATAAAATTTCTATATACGGTATTTATAACAAAGTAAATCGATATTTTTCAGTCTATTAATTAATGAAATGTTCCTTTGTTAAATATATGTGTCGTGCAACGGCGTCCTCTTTCCGTGTCTTATCTCGTCATATCTCGTGTGTTCTCCCTTTATTCGTGTGTGTAAATCTCGTGAAATGGCACGTGGTGGTAATACAATATATATGCGTACAAGGGGTGTCTCCCAATAAGTATAAAATAAATGTATCTCGATAGAATTGACAGAAAGAAGAAAGTGTAAAATATGATTTTTTTGTTATTTGTCACATAAACTGTAATGATAGTTGATGTGATTAAAAAGAAAATATCTCTTTTAATTTTTCAAGGTGTTTTAATTTTATAGAAATCGATTGTTTTATAATTTCTTTTCTATGCAGAATGACTGAAAGAATTAAAAACTCAAAATAATTTTTAAGTAATCTATAGAAAAATGTTTTAAAAACACCTCTTCGTCGTGTATCATAATTATTACATAGAAATGTAGCAAAAAAATTTTTCTGTTATATTTTTTCTTCTACTGTTAAACAATTATTTTATATTAAGTTTATTTGTCGCGAACAAAATAAGACATCATCGTATTATTTAAAATATAGTACAGAGATAATATAAGCTTGTGATTAAGGGGTAATATCACTTTGTGTTCACTATTACTTTCTGAATTTATTATAAAAAAATGAAAAGATTTATTAATATTCGGGTTTTTACATGTAAAAGTACAAGTCTTAAGGTACATAAAAAAATTTTTTTTAGATTTTTAACAAAATGGCAGCTTTCGCAAAACAATCCTTTTTTTTCCTTGCCGTACCGCTACAGGTCGCAATTTTGCACCTAGAACAACAAACTTAAAATTTTCTGAAAATATGGCCCAAAATCTAGTGAACATTGTAGGATTTTTTCGATAAATTAATTTAAAAAAAAATGGCGTCGATTTGAATTTTTCTTTTTTTTTTTTGGAAAAAATTGCTTGAAAATCGGCCATAGATAGAATCGGCAAATTTTAATTTATCGAAAAAATCCTACGATGTTCACTACATTTTGGGCCATATTTTCAGAAAATTTTAAGTTTGTTGTTCTAGGTGCAAAATTGCGACCTGTAGCGGTACGGCAAGGAAAAAAAAAGATTGTTTTGCGAGAGCTGCCATTTTGTTTTTAAAAATCTAAAAAAAATTTTTTTAGCTGTACTTTCACATGTAAAAACCCGAATATTAATAAATCTTTTCATTTTTTTAATAATAAATTCAGAAAATAATAGTGAATTCAAGGTGATATTACCCCTTAAGAAAAAGTCGACTGCAACGTGATCGGGCAACGGTATACACGGCGGTAAAAGTGGAACACTTTTGTTTGTAAAAATCCAACGATCCATATCAAGTGCATTTAGTGAGAAAAACATCCTGTATATAACTGCAGATATTGATAACAACGGATATTTGGATAAGCACGATTTCGAGTGCATGGCACTAAGAATGACGCTGATCGAAGGCAAGGGCGAGTTCACGTACACCCGGTACCAAGAAAATCTTCACATTATGCTCTCTTTGTGGGAGGAAATAGCCGATTTGGCAGATTTTGATAAGGTATGTCACAAGATAATGTTTCTGTATAACAAAACGGACCAACTATCTTTCTTGGCACAATTTAGGTCTTGCACCGGTTTCAAATTCTTCGAATTCTAAGAGCCGCTCAAGACTGTAACTCGAGATCATTCGCAATCTTTGTTACGAATTTTCTTACGTTCCAAGACAATTATCTAACGATCTATTAAAATCCACGTATTTTGCTTCGGTAATTTTGCGAAAATCATGTTTGATATTTGGCGAGCGCTTTCTTGGTGAAAATAGGTACTTAATTTTTTTTTTTTATAGAAAATTGACAGTTTAGATTTCACATGCAATTTTTATCGAAGATTAATTTGAAAGGTAAAACAAAGGTTACGAACGTGCGATTGATTTTATTAATTTTAAATTTACTTAACATAAAAAAAAACAGATAAAAGATAAAGAATTTGTAAATATAATAATTACCTACGTCAAATAAAAAAATTGAACCAACTATTATACTTGTAATTGAAATAATTATTATAATTAAAATAATCTTTCAAATTCTGATTCGTGTATTGTTGATATATAATAAAAAATAGAAAGTGTTAATCTTTCGTATAATATACATGTTAAAAAAGAGATAAGCATTTATTTATATTATTCCTTCTAGGACGGCGTAGTAACGATAGAAGAATTCAAAAAGGCTGTGCAAAGTAGCTGTGTTGGTCGTTCTTATAATGATTTTCCTCAAGCTATGAAGATGTTCATCGATACCCACTTCAAAATACTTGACATGAATGGTATTGTGTAATATTTACAAACGTAAGAAATATACATTGTGTAGAATAGTGAATAAATCATAATTTCTTTCTACAAAATTAGATTAATATAGAAAAAATTGACAACAAAAATTATTTTTTGAAATAACGGAGATTTTTAATTTTTATAATGTCTGTTCCAGAGGATGGCGTAATTGGTGCCGAAGAATTTCGATATGATTGTGTTTCAAGGATTGCTGTGGATAATATAGACGTCCTTGATAAGGCTTATCAAAGTCTCTTGAACGTAAGTTCAAAGAAATAAATTGATTATTTGATAAAATAAATAAACTACTTTTTTCACCTTTCCTTTTAAATTTATGAATAAATCAAGCTTTGATACTTTAAAGAACTGATGCTATAAAGCAGTAGTTGTTATCCAATTTTTTATCTCAAAACATATCAATTCAAATACACTCCATTGGAAGATGCGCATTTTTTTATTTTATGGGTAAATAAAAGATGCGCAAAATAATGATAAAGAATTATGTCAGTACACGTGTTATTTCATCAAAAAAATTTGTATTATATATCTCATTCCATAATCATTTTAGTAAAAATATTTTAGTAAAATAAATCTTCCAAGGCATAAAAATACATTTAAAAAAAGATAATTACTTCAAAGTGATCATTATGTTAACAGGACGACGACAGAAAACGCGGTGGATTGACCTTATCACGTTATCAGGAATTATACGCGCAATTTCTCGGTAATCCCGACGACAACTGTCCAGCGATTTACCTCTTTGGGCCAATAGGACAAGAATCATAACTGAAATATTTGTCATTTCAAAGCGGCATGAATCTTTATATCATTGTATGTACAAAAAGATACACAAAAAATGTGTTTAACTCAATATCTGTATTAATCCTTGTAAAAATTATTGTAATAAATCGGATATTTTACTGTAATGAAAAATTTTTGCATACCATACTTCGCGTATGATAAACGTTACCTTAATGTTAAATTGTTTTCTTTGGAATATCGCACGTATCGATTAATCGCTGTTTCTCCGTTATCAAGTCTTTCAACATCCATAGTAGCAATATATATAGCAATGACAAAAATTCAGAATGCAAACTATCAAGAAATATATATTGTCCAAATAATGTCTTTCTGGAATAATTCCTTTTCTTGAAAACTGTGATAATGTATTTCCAGATCAATAATTAAAATTTTTAAATAATAACACGCGCGCGCGCGTGAGCGTGTAAAAAATACATGTATTTAATGCGTGTGTGTGTGTGCGTGCGTGCGTGCGTGCGTGCGTGTGTTGTGTCAGCACAAAACTGCAAATTAACGATAAACAGTATATTTTCTGAAATATAATTAAACAAAATAATATAATGCACGTATATATGGTACAAACAAGAGAAAATTTATTTCCATTTATGTGACAACACAGTACGCTTTGCATGCTACTTGAGATGCTTCTCTGAGTTTTCTTTTCTTTCATTTTCCGTTTATCCATCATAACATTATAATTTAATTTGACGCTTACACTTTTTCACTCCTTCACAATATTTCATATTTATATCGAAGCTTCTATTGATATGCATTTCGTCATATACACGGTGCAGTGTAAATCGAAGATCATTTACGCGTAGTATTCTTCGAACAAACCAGTATAATATACATTAATTTAACGAAAGATATCGCTTCATACGTATATCGAACACACGCATATGTCTGCCAGACAATAAACTTGTACATTTCACGACATTTTTTTTTGTATACCATTTATAACATTTAACGCAGCCGTCGCTCTTTTTCGTGTCTTATACATTCATCTGCACGCAAATATACATACATCGCAATAACAACTTGAGAAATATTAACAACTTCGTATGTATCTAGCGAGTTCCTTATTTCTTTTGTAATTGTATGTACTGCTTGACGATTGGTATAAAAGTTACACTCTCTATATAAAACGCTCGAATCCATAAGTTCTTTCAAACAGGAAGTAAGCATCAGGCATTTAGAAAAACATATTAAGATTACGTTACCCGCTAAAGTTTTTGTTATGTATACAAACAAAAGACACTGTTGCAAAATTTGTTACATATACATCGAGCAAAAGCGCCGTATTTCATAAAGAACTTACATCGACAAAGCGCATTACGGCGATAAGATTGGCGAATCTACTCCGCATTGGAAACCTAACACGTGAATGTAATATAAACTATTCCATTCTATTTCATTCGACAAAAACCTTACATAATTCTAAATATTCGACTAAATTATAATAAATTCGTGCCTAAATAATCAACCAGTAATCAAACTTCTTGTTGGAATAATAGAATACAGTCAGCAAAGCCTGAGATTGCAAAGCTTAGCAAAGAAAAATGTACTTGAATACATATTTTGCGATTCTCTCAATTAATTTTAATCATTCAAATATAACACAAGTATATTTTGAACAGGTCGATTGTTAGGATTGATAAGATTCGTATTTCGTTTCTTTGAGGTTTTTGCTCACTAAGGATCATAAAATCAATTCTTGTACAATTTATATAATAAGTATATAACGTGTGATTGAGCTTTTTATCTGCAATGCTTTTTTAATCTTTTATTGCATGTAGCAATAACTTGGACTTTTTAAACTAATGTATGATCCATGCTACGTGAGATTCTAAGCTATATTTGTATTGGTTGTTTCATGTAATTTATTTATAAAACTTGTTCGCATATAGCGTAAAAGATAATTCATGCGTAATTTTCCTCATTTTCGTAATTAAGTAATGACTTGTGTTCCATCGATGATTATTTTCGAGCTCGATTTGATGCTTCTGCTAAAGTAATTTACCACTTAATAATTTCTACGACAAACTCTTTTTATTTCCAGTCATCCAGGTATATTACCCATACATTTATAATATTTATTAAGGTTTCAAATTTCATTACTTTATTCTTCTTTTTCATAAAAAAGACAAATACATTTTCCGTTATATCGAAATATGGTACAATTTTAGCCAATCAAAACGATATTTAAAAGAGCATCTTAAAGATTCATATTTTACGTTTCTTTACACGTCTCTCAGATATTTATGTTGCCTGAATATCTAATAATTATATGGAATAGAAAAGAAATAGGACATTAGAATTGTGAGGATTATCGCTAAAGTTTTCAAAAAATAATCTCAAAAAACGGCATAATAAAAATAATGTGAAAAATATTTGAATCTTACACGTAGAAATAATGTTCTCTATTGACCCATAGTAAGCTAGCGACAAGGAAACTATTTTACTTTGCCTGACCTTAACTTAATATACATGTCATAAATTCGGAACTTGGTAATAAAGCAGGATATTTACCTAAGAAATAGACAAAACATACTTAAATCTAACCAACAATACTGATAATTATACATTTTACGACGGAAATTTAATCTTTAAGTAACATGGTGAAGATTTACAACATTCATACCATTTATGCCAAGAATATATATTCACATACGCGTAATGATACTAATGATTAGTACCAATGATTAGTATGTAATAAATTAGTATGTAATAAATTCTCTGATGATTTCTTATTATCGAACATTCATTAACGGAATTCTTACAACGGTAATCTGAAGCCAAAGGTAATCAGTGTGAAAAATCCAAAATAATTTCAGATGTACTGATGTAGCAAGATAATCGAATGATCTGGTAAGATTCAGAATAATTGGACTTGGATGGATGGCTTCACCATGGAACTTATGGATTATTGTAAGACTTGAAAACTTTTATCCTGATATAGATATCATCTCTATTGCGACTATCAAAATTGATTGTATGCGTTTCATGCATCACTCAACTTGTATACTGACTATTATGGACGGCATATAGAACAATTTATCGTTACGTATCATAAATATTTAGTTAATGACTAATTTAACCATAGTTTTAAATATATGAAATCTTTAAGTGTAATATTTATTTTTGATAAAATCACTAAAATAAACCATGGCAATGGTTATTTTACAAATGATACCAACCTCTTAGATAATTTATACATTAATAAATTCAATATCGTTTTAATATATCAAGTGTTTTAACTGTCAATATTTTAATGTCATACTTATGTAAGTAATAACTGGATATCGATATCAGAAAAAAAGATTCATGTCACGTGAGAAATGCATTAAACAAAGAAAAATGCATTTTATATCCGTCACGTTTTCATCACCATTCTCAATAAATTTGTTTAATGAGTAGTAAGAAAACAAAAATTCTTCATTCTAGATAAATTATATTCTACTTAAAATCGATCACGCATATGATTAAGCGTTCGCACGTGCGAAATATTTTAATTTCGAACAGTCTGTGAGAATCTATAATATTATATTAAAAAAGAAAAGAAAGCCTTGCCCGAAATAAATATGCTAAAAATGACCAAGACTTAGAACTATACAAATTTATTTATCGCTAAAATATAATGTGCCAGATATGAACGTAGATGGACATGTTCACCAGTCTCGAAGAATTTCGTAGAAACAGTTCGTTTTAAACTTTCTATATTTCGGAGAAGAGATTTCGTGAAAGAGAGAGAACCCTCTCAGTTCACACGGGCTCAAGATAAACGATTATATTGACACTTGATTAATAGATTCACTTCAGTCCTTCTAAGTACAAAAATTGCATCCGATTAAATCGGTGGTTAATTCTTCGTTAGAATATTACATGGTGATCAGTCGCATCGATGGAGTTCACACTGGCGTAGGAAGTGGACGCGCGTTGATAGTTGTCGTTTTGGAGTAGAGGAGAATCCGGCTTGTCACGTTCGTGACGCCTAGCTTCACTTCCGCTCGCGAGTTCGCGGGCTCTTGTACGCCCTCGGCGCGACATCACGCCTGAAATAACAAAGAAGCACACTTTAAGCACCTTAAATCTTCATCTCATCTAGCGTACGCTCCCATCGCACTGTGTGCGTACATAAAAATTGTATGATTAAGATTGTGCTGTTGTGTGATAACATTGCTCAATACCTATGACTTTTTTGGTGTACATATACGTTTCTACGTGTCTGTAACATTTCTATTTCTATTTATATATACAGGATTGTATACAAGAAGCAACTCATTCAATTAAACACAATATAATATTTCATGCAACAACAAATATGCTCACATTCTTGTAAAAAATACTAAATCTTTAAACATTTCTCAAGTATATGCGCAATAATGTACACGCATTTACAAAATTAAACACATGTAACATTACAAAATTTTCTAGAATCTCTATTTGAAGAAAACAATTTTTTTCCTATTTTTTTTTAATATTAGCACAAATTATCTATAAATTAAAATACATATTGCATTTACTGAATATATACTGAAAATCGTGCACGTACAAAATAAACTTTTAAGATTTTAATCATAAACACAAGTTTTTCATATATTGCCGTTTATTATGACATTTTGATAAAAATGATATAAAATATTTATCCATATATAGTCAGCGGAAAAATGTGTAAGTTTTAATTCAAAAATTTTAAGGCGTGAGTGTTTTAGATTTAAACGTTATAGTTTATAAAAACAGTTTCGCTATTTAATTTATTCATGTATTCTTGACAGTAAATGTACGTTATCCATCAAACTTTTTCTCTGAATGAAAATTTTTTCAATTATATTTCGTTCGTCATGTCAACGTATCCTCTATTACGTTCATATTTATTATATTTTTACAATATTACGATAGATGAAAAGTTGTCATGTTGTTATATTGACAAATACAATATTCATATCTACCACGGATATCTTTTACAATTAGAGCAAGACATTAAAAAAGTATACAATGTTAATCTCAAACAACAGATTAACCCCTAAAAGATATATATTGAAAAAGTTTTAATATATGATGTAAAAATAATTTGTGACATTATATGGAAAAAGGATAAAATTGCAATGTGAGCACCACATGTGTGTGATATTATTCTACACATGTGTGTGATCTTATTCTACACATTTTTCTTTTTCACCAGTGATAATATTTTTGGATTTTCATATCTCTATAATCAATAATTTTATAGCAGCATAAAATCAATCTATATTTACTAGGAATTTAATTTCAAAATTCGACAAAGAACTATTCAATTATTGGTCAATGCATAATCTCAGAGGTTATACAGTATGAGTTTTATTTCGTGTGCCAATTATTTCTGTTAACTATCTCAGAAAATATTGATTTATTGGAAAAATGTTTCAGATAGAAGTTGGAGGATTCAGAGGGTCCGTGTCGGGCACAGTAAGATCCAAAATCTTTAGATCATTTATTGGCCTCCTCTGAATCCTTCAACTTATATCGGAAACATTTTTTCAATAAATCAATATTTTATGAAATACGTGGCGGAGATACGTGGCACACGAAACAAAACTCATTCTGTATATGTTGCAATACATTAACCAAATAATGACAGGTACAAAAACATGACGCATAAAGGCACTAACATATATGTAAGAGGTAAAAACTATAACTATCTTTAATATTTCTGAAAAAGTAAGATTAAAAGAGAAATTTGTTTAACAAAAATTGTATAGTACACAAGAGAGCATCGTATGGCGGTAACACTTGCATTCTAGAATGCATCAAATTATTTCCTAGATCAAAAGCACTTTTTTTTATTAAATGCTATAGTTTTGTGTTTATTTTCTAATAACATCTATTAAAATAAATATAATAGCCTATGACATAAGATCATTAATGAAGATCATTTGTGACAAAAATATTTACCATTAGAATATATCAGAAATTTAATACATAGATTACCTACTGCTTTATAATACTGCTTCTGTATATCACACAATTTTTGTTAGATTTCTTTCTCCCATTTTTCAAGGTATTGAAGACCGCATAGTCTTATCACACCATGTATAATAATAATTTGAATAATAAACACAAAAATAAACACATCATTTAACATCATAAAGTGAAATTAGCATGTTTTTAAAAGGCTTTTCCATCCCACACTCATTAATATGGTTAGAAACATCTCGAATACAAACTTTAAATACATGATATAACTAGAACAATCTTAACGACCACAATTAATAAGTTACTCAAATTAATGTGCCAACTAATATACAGGGTGATTATAAATCTTTGTCTAGCTTTAGGTGAACGTTCATAACTTCCGTTCTAATAAAATTAATCTAAAAAACATTAGAATACAAATTTAGTGAAGCTTCATATGCACATTAAGATTGATCTATTAATAAAAATTTTCCTATCGGATCTTTTTACATATTAATTTTATTATAGATGTATATAGATAGACCGTAAGTATGCACGTATATGATTGTAGGTATATAGACTGGAAGTTATGAATACAAAATAAATTCTTATAGCTATTTAAGCTGCGTTTAGAAACATCACCCGAATGCCGAAAATCTATAGTGCACGAAACATACGCTGTAGGATTTTCAGCACGCGGGTGATGTTTCTGAACGCACCCCTAATATAGTGGAATCGGTTAGACTGAGAATACGCGTTTATAATTTAAACAAGGTTATACATATGTTATTTACTGTCGTATTAGCAGCATTATTTTGTTATGCATAGAAATGCGTTAATGCAATATTTTCCTGTAAAATTTTGTCAAGACTCTCTTTAAATTTTGACCTTCAAGATTAAAAGATTGCATTTTCTTCCATATATAAATAAATTAAATTACAACGAAGAGAAAAACACTACATTGACGCAAAAAGTGCACATACATACTTTTTGAATTTGTTTGAAAATATTAAAATGTTTAATTTAATGTTATATATATGTTAAAAATATGTTAAAATGAATTGAAAGTTGTAACATGTTGAAATAATAATACATATTTTTAATAATTCTTCTCTGTATGAAATTAAGATAACACGCTTGAGACTCTTGCGATATTGAGATAGGTTTACAAAAAAAACACATCAAGATAGTTTTCACAAACTTGAGTAAATTGGGAAAAAATTCATCATCATTTTACTCTCCCAACCTATTATATTTAAATCCAAAATAAGAGAGCAATAAATCTGTAATATTAAAAAGAATTGCACTTTCTGGATGCATATTCACACTGTGCTAAATAACGATAATGTTAAATCGACAATGGCCGGTATTCATAGTCTTCAAGATCGTCTTAAGTAATGTCTTAAGACGCTAATACGGCTCTGTGATTGGTTCATGACATCTTAAGATTGAACTTAAGACGGTCTTAAATAACTATGAATACCAGCCAATATTAAATAATATTGTACTTTGAAAACTCAGTCTATCTGTGCAAAATAAACAACACGAAAATACGATGACAGATTTTGAACATGAAGAAAAAAATACCAAGAAATTTTACCACATGTCAAAACGTGGACGTTCCTTTTTTATATTCAGATGCTCTGCATACCTATCTGTCACATTCAAGCACTTTGAACGTAGGTGTGGTTGTAGTGGGTGTGGGAGAATTGTGTTTGCTTACACGATGATTCAAGGATGTCTCTTGCACGTTGTCCAGATTTCCATGCATCGCTCTCTTGTGATTCGCCAATTTCTCTTTGTTCATGGGTGAGCCTAAAACCACCAGGGGCCATGGTGCCCGGTCCGCATTACTCAAAAAATGTATATTTATACAACACGTATCTTCTCAATGAAGAAAGACTAAGCGCAGACGTTAGTAAAGAAATTTGACATGGAAATATTTCACGTTGTTACTCTTTGTCGAATTTGAAAAGCTGCTCGTATTAATTATATACATGAAAGGCTGAATGTTTTTGCACGACACATAGGGATATGAAAATGAAATTGTACGTAATTAAACACTGGTAAATCCAAATAAAATAAATTGTTTAACCATTCCATTTCCTTCCTAAGCGTTAAAATGCTTCTAATGCTTCTTAAAACTGTAGTGACTATACCCATCAAGTGTATCTAGCGATAAAATCTGAATTTACACAAAATATGCTTCATGCAACATAAAGTGTTAATAATAGACCATGTGAACAACATATATTTGAATATATAAAATAATTAAAATTTTGGAAACATATACAAAACATCTTTTTCAAAGAGAGAAATTAAAAAAGCATTTTTAGCCAAAATATCAAACGTTGTCTACTATAGATCCCGATAAATCTATATATATAAAAGAGAAAAACAAAAAAAAACTAGATTTTGTCTCGGATCAAATATTTGGGAGTTATGTTGTAGTAACTCACAGTCCAAAATGCAGAAATTCATATTTCAATAAATGTTTTACACGCAGAAAATATTAAAAATTTGAAAATTTATCTCATCTTCAATAATTTTTCAGATATAAAACGATATAAAACACGTCAAAATATTTTCAAAGTTTAATTTCCTTATCAAACGTTGAATAAACTTTAATAAATACAAAATAGTATATGCTGATAGCATGTGATGAGAATCAGAAGACTTGAGTTACCAAAGAATGTAACATAGACTTTTCTGGCATAGATATAGATATACCAACAAAAAATTATATATATATATATATATATATATATATATATATATATATATATATATATAATAGTTGTCATAATTATGACAGCACTATCTTACCTATATAACTTAGCAGTACCGGCAAAAAGATGAGACCATGTGCCGCTCCAAATAGTACGATACCCAAATACATTCTGAAGTAAAATACCTGCAAATATCTCTTAGCTGAGTACGTCCGAGTACGTTTATACAATTAAAATATGAACAAACACAACACCACGTATCTACGTTATAATCATGATTGCGTGATAATAATATTACAAGTACTAAAAATCATTATAAAAGGATCGAGAGAAGCTATTAAAAAATCAATAAATATAAATACTTTAATATTTCAACGTACTTTTACTAAAAGCCGAGTAAGTTTCTTGATTGCAATGCGTGATAATTTAAATATTAGACACGTGGCGTTCTATTTAATGTTATAATGGAACAAAGACAAACCTGGAAAATTTGACTTTTTGCAAAGCCCAGTACTATAATACCGCCAAACTTTGTCAGCGTAATACCGCTAAATACTGAGCTTCCCATATTTGTCAATGCATCTGCGACTCTTTCAACTCTAGTTGCTTGAACCGACACAGAGAAAGAATGTACCAGATGACTGCAAAACTCGACGGCTATACCAACTGCCTGTAATAAAAATCACAACATTGAACGATACATTTTCCACAACTGTTACATGGTAGATTTTTCTAAACTACTTTTTAGCTGTATTTATTATATTTTTATATTTTTTTGTCACTTGTCTTTCACTTTGTTCTCGCAGTACATTAATATCATAAAAACATAGAAATATACGTATATAATAAATATACATTTGACGTACAACGGAGATATAAAGTTCCTTAAAAAAAAAGCATTCATAGCACGATATAAAATATTATCTCCTTCTCATTTTAATATTAACGAAAAAAAAATATATTTATGTCTTGAAAATATAATAAGCAGAAATAATTGAAAATAATTGAAAATAAAATACGAAAAAGAACGCAACAAATTTATAATATAAACATTTCATTATTCTATTTAATAATATATATCCCATCTTGAATTTTTTAAAATATACAACTATAAAAAATGTCCAGATACCGAATAGATCGATTTATATAACAATGTAAACTAAAATCCACTGTTCTTGCAATAATCAACTTACCATGACAAGATTTACCAGAGATACTGCATTCAAAGTTATATGCCACCAATACATTAAACCACCAATATTAACGACGATCATTGTGATTGTAATTAGAACCACAAGTGATGAGAAGATATCCAAACCCATTAGCAAGAAAGTAACCACAAATATAGCGAGCAATGAGATTCCTATACTCTGCAATGTGTCGGGCCACATAGTCAGATACTGCTCGTAAAATACATAGAAAACACTGTAGGGAAAAACTTCTACGGTAGTGTTTTTACTGAGCTTTCTCAAGTTACAGTTGAGCATGTTTGTGATATTCGCCGCCACTACTCTGGCTGCTCTCATCGATTCATAATAATCGGCCGATGTCTTGAGAATAGTGTGATAAGCCATGAAATAAGAAGCACCGACTGTCGACATTCCCGTGTTAGGATCGGTAATGTAATTCACACCATGTCCGTAAGCTGCATGACCCCCTTTAGCACATGTCTCGTCGGGATTGTCTTGTAGGAAGAACGATACATATTTGTTGAAGTCAACGGGCACTGGTCTATTGTATTCGTTCAAAGTGGCATTACAAAGAGAACAGTGCCGATCTGCAATCCAAAATAATGAAAAAAAAACTCGATTAAAATAGGAAAATTAAACATACGTGATTATATCAATTTCTTAAAGAAAAATACGTACCGGTATGCGGACAAAATGAATTGTTCGTAGGAAAATATCTGCAACAACCGTATAATCCCGACCAATCGATATAATCATCCATCCAAGATGAAGCAGGCTTAGCTATGTAAGTTCTAAAAAAAAAAAAGAGAAAAAAATTGAGAATATTTTTCAGTAAAATCTGAAGACACGTAAACCGTGAAATTAGATTTATTCGTGAAATTTTCTGTTTCTTATAGCAATATACCTATTTGGTTGTTTAGATGCACTAAATATTTGCGTCGACACTGAATCGCTATTACAATACTGTCCACCGCACACTAAGTTTTGCATTTTCGTATCTGAATAATTTAGGCCATCTTTAACAACAAAATACATTGGCGGCCCGATAGATAAGTAATTATTCAAGAACTGAAAAAAGCAAAAATTTTAATTTTTGTATATTTTTTTATAATTCGTATTCAGCTTGATATTTTTGCTTTATCGATTACATACCTGGAAATATTTAAGCACAAAACTATCTTCGGGCATAGAAAGTTCCTGATCTAGGCCAATTTCTATATGCGGTATTACGGCAATACTACTGCAGAGCCAACCGAAAAACACAACCATCACAATTGCGCGAACCCATTTTTGCAGCAATAATGGGACGTATCCAACTTTGAAAATTTTATACAGTACTCCATCTACCACTTCTTCCCCATCATCTCGCTTGGAGCGAATAAAGCAACATACATCTAGCCTATTATTCTGAAATCATAAAAAGCATATCTTATGCATTTTAGTGTGATCATGAATATAATATATAGAATAAATGTGAGCGAGAAAGAGGGAGCGAAAAAGGATTTCTCTCTTATAAAATAGTAATAAAAATTAAATCTCTACAAAGTCTTGCTGACAAAAAATGTTGAATGGATTCTGAATAAAAAAAGTATTAACATAAATTGTCTTGTATAAAACATACCGCGTGCCGAATTGTGTCAAGTGCTAAAAGACTGACAAAACATGTGATTTGTAATATGAAATCTACTAATAATGCCATTCCAGCATAGAGGGCAAACGCTTTCACGGCAGGCATATCAGAGAGGCCACCTGTAGACAAAAAGAAATATTACGTGCAACAGCTTCGTCGCATACACGTTTCGCGTATGTTTACACGCGATCTTCGGCCAACACGTACCAAGGAAGAAGCAACAGCTTTCCGACACACTTGTGAGTAACATACTAGGACCAACTTGACCTAACGTACGACCGATATGTTCCGGGATCGATTCGTTCGGGCGTCTGCCTTCTCTCTGATGAGTTTGAACGAGAATAAAAATATTATCTACTCCGACTGCCAGCACCAAGAATGGAATGACCTCAATGATGATTAGTGTAGCTGGTATACCGATAAAACCGAACAATCCAACCGAACAAATCACAGACGCCAACACTATAAGTACACCTCCAAGTCCAAGAGTAATCTTGGAATCGTGCTGAAATGTCACGTGATTACATATTAAAATATTAGTAATATTAATCAAGATGCTCAAGGATGAGATGGCACGTGGCTAAAGATTCTCACCAAAAGACGGGAACATGATCTAATTTGGCCAAGAGACACCGCAATATATCCAAACATAATGATATATGATACCAGAATGGTTACAATGTCCGATTGAGATTCACGATTCAGTTCATCCTCGATAGAACGTTCGGACGTAAACGCCATGTTCATAAATGCCGGTTTTCTTGTTGCCGTCCAATTTTTCATAAAGTTGATATAGCTGAAATTTGGATATAAATGAAATATAATCTATAAGATATAATCTTATTTCGACGTTGCCGCGTAAATTTACCTTTCTTCCCATTCCATAGCGGGTAACAACTTGGCTTTGTTGTGATAATTGTTTACGAGAAAAGTAAGGATTATAGCAGTTGCCTTTTCATATGGTGGATTGTGAAGATCTTGCCCCGGAGACAAAAATCCACCTACTGCAATTGCTGGCTCTACTGGACCGCCATAAAGTGCGAGGCATTCAGGATTATATGCATTTCTGAAAGAAAAATACATAAACGTAATAGATGCTATCCGTAGAATACATAGTTTTCTTTCTAATAATAATATAAATTCTTTTATATATGTACATTCTTTAGACGCTCTTTTAATTTCAATCTCACAATTACATTTTCGTATTTTATTACTTATAATGTGTCTCTATGCGTCTTGTTATTTTGCTCTTGAATTATTTCTATAATATAATAATAAATATAAATAAATAAATATGGGATGACGCGTAGTTTTGTGTGAGAATAATAATCGACTCATAGTCGGTGCGTTCGACTCTCACACACATACACGTCATGCCTGTGAACTTGTAAAAGATTGATAAAAGAGTTTAAGGTTGTCGGTGAAGCAGTATGAGCTAAACTTGTATGGGTAGTAACTTGATTCGAAAACTCCTAGTTGAAGAGAAACAAGAGTTTAAATAAAAAAAAAATTACATTGAATATACAATTTTTTTTTGGCTTCCATCACTTACTGCGAGCAAACTCTAAAGTGGTCCAAATAGTTTATTGTGTAATTCCCCTCTTGGTCTGAATCTTCAAACTTTTCTAAATCGTCTTGCCAGTAACCCCAAATACTTTGAATAGCGCATTGCGAAACAGTCGTCGGACCGGTAAATGGTCCAGTTAAAGGAGCGAAACATATATTCGCTAATGTATAGTTGTTGGGAGTACGTATACTCTTAATACCTTCTTGCAATTCAAAGACTGTTTTTAGAAAAGTGTTATTAAACACAGGACCAAATACAATTGGGCCATCGGAGGTCTTGTGTACGATCTGTAATTAATATTAGACACGTATACATACAGAATAATAAAAAAACACGTACAGTAGCGCTTTTCTTATTTTGTAAATAATGTATTAAGAATTAAACTGGTTCTCTATGCAAAGATAATAGTCTGATATATTTCTGTAATACATACATTCGGTAAGCCAACGGAAGTAATAATAATTTGTTCAGTTCGATAAAAGGGTTCAAAATGTTTATCGAAATATTCCCTTTCGACGCGCGATCGGGAATGCGGGGATGCCCATAATTCCACAGGATCTGTAGTAATTTGCATGTATTTTATGCCATGTCCCAAGGCAACAATCAATAGGAAGCCAAGGAAAAGTATTAACCAAGGTCGAGAAGCGCAAACTACAAAAGAATATTAGTCGTTGTAAGCAAATATAGAACAATATTATAATCTAATTTTGTGTAAACTATATCACAAAATGTAAAATAATTAACTATTTTACTTACCTGTTCCCCACTTGCAGAAGAATTCTTGCAAAAATTTGTCAGTATTTGCTCCAAGCTTCTCAATAAACGTGGATTGTTCTTCGTCAAATTCAGCTGGCAACTCATCGCTAGATATGACACCTAAAAACATTTTATTAAGTATAATAAATTTTCAAAATTTATAAATATCACGTATTAAGCACCATTATGCAGTTTAAACAATCTTGAGTGCACGTGCTGTAAACAATTAACATTCTATCATCTATAATGAATATACGAATGCTATAACTAACCAATAATTACTTATACAAGACAGTATAAAAATATTCTATAAAAAACGTTAATTAAAACGTTCCTAAAATAAGTCATCTTTACGAGATTAACAATAATAAAAAAGTACAGTGCCTTAAACATAATTATAATTAACAATGTTGAGACAATATTAAAAAGTTTAAAAAAATTACATTTCTTATATAAATATAATTCTTTAATTAAAATTTACTTAAAAATGCACGAAATCAAAATTTATTTAGATTACTGAAATTACTAATCTTGTTATCTTACAAAAATGACGTTTAACAAAAGTAATATAGAATATGTACAATTTAGAATAGTGTCGACTACGTATAAATGTTAAAATATAAAGAAGTCCCCTCAATAATATTAAAGATTTCATTTCACTAATTTTACAAGAAATAATAAAATAATTTGTGCTTAAAATACTTTAAATTTTCATTTTAATAATTTCCAAAAATTATAGGCATCTTCTATTTGAATGTGCCATATCTTGCACATGAAGTGACATGTACATATACAAAATATTAGACAATTGCGCTTTATATAATTCATTTTTTTAAATCATTTTCCAACGCTATTATGGGGAATTTTTTCTTGATTAAGCTTATATACGGCACATTTTCCTCATCTTAAAATTATCTATTTAAAGCAGTGCCGCCTATCACATACACGTAACATATTGTAACAAACATGCAAAATATTAAGTATTGTGTATGTGAGTGTGTGTGTGTGTGTGCATATATATATATATATATATATATATATATATATATATATATATATGTATGTATGTATATAAAATTTAAACGCAACATTAACACAAAACATATGAAATACTTATACAACACAATTTTTGTGAGCAGAAAAATATGATATTTATATAAATATTTTCACGTATAGAGATTTTTTAAGAAAATGTTATAATTCCTTATGAAACTTCTTTATAAAAATATTCTTAAAAAGTTATTTATGAAAAAAGAAGTATTTATATCATATACAAATCATAATGAGATTGTTATGCAATGTAATAGATTATCCGAATATATCTCGTCAAGTTCATGCATTTTATGAATTTTTTACTATAATTATATAAAATGCAAACTTTTTCAAGCGTCACTCTTAAGCATTTAGACTTTTAGTGCAATTGTATAGTTAATTATCATAATTTATCATGTAAATATGCAGTATTGCATTGCAAAAGAAATATAAGTTATGTACAGCTTAACGCTATATAAACAGAACATTTAATAAATCCAAATGTAAATAATTGGAAAAATAAGTGGGAAAATTTGTCTAATACGCAATTGACATCCTGGCAGGCATAATCTGCAAGGGCTGAAAATAAAGCGAAAGACACAAAAGCTATGAAGCAACAGAAAAGCTATAACAGTAATGACGAATACATCGAAGCTTTAGAATCGAAAAAACCTACTAGAACGCTTAGACTGAAGTGGACTGTCTTCTTGGTCAGCGGCAAGGGCAATACGAGCACCATCTCCTGGGTGTAATCCGGCAGCTAGCCGTCTACCCACCTGTCTGCCTACCTCCTCTCCTCGTGCAACTATACATATGCGCACACCATACATACACAACCTATAGTCTGTACTCATTTGTATGATATACATAAGTATTATATGAAAATCATATGTGCTTCAAATAGTTAACATAACAAAATAAAAACTCGTTCTGCACACGACAAAAGTTATTTGAGTCACACTTATTACAACCTAAATGATACCACGATAATATTACATATATGCGTTAATTCATAAAATAACAAAAAAAAGTTAAAGTTAGTGCAAATGTTAACAATAACACTTGTAAGAAAAATCATCTATAAGAACTTGTGCAGCGAATGTTTCATAAACTAAAGTAGATAACATACATTTGTTATAAAAGGTTATTCAAGAGATTATTTTCTTCTAAACTAATGTTTGAGTACGTAATATCTTATAGATTTTGTATAGCTTTATGTATGTATAAACATGATTATCTTTATATTAATTTAAAAGTACAACTATATTTGCATAACTGTAGATGAACAATAATAATTATCATTTAATAATTCTCTTGATACTTCTCACAAAAATAATGTTTGTTTTTTAACGTACTTGTAAATAAGAAATTAAGATTTCACGGTGTTATTATACATGTCTTTCGGAATTTCAAATAAAATAAATCAAGCGCAAGAAAAAAATCTCACCAAAAAACCAAAAAAAAATTCCAGCAATAAAACATCCAAGAATTGTTAGAATAAATTAATCATATAATCAACTCTTCACTTCACTTCCACACTTATTTTATATATTCACTAAGAGATACGTAATAATATTAACACAAGTTAACATAATAACTACAATTAGTCACTATGTTCAATAAATTATATGCAAATTATAATTTAAAAAAAATAGCTTCAATTGAAAAAGACACATGCATTTTCCATTTCCTTAATTTGTTGCAATATTCAGCAATAATTTTTATGCAACACGTGCATGGAAGGTGCCCCATTACGCACGCTACGCGTGCGTGATAGACCACTTTCCAGGCACTTGCAACATAAAATAGGGAGTGTAAGCCGTGTGTAAAGATGAAAATTCCCGGGTGCGGAGTTTACGCACGAGCCGAAGGCGAGTGCGGTAACCGCACCCGGGAATTTCCATCTTACCTCACTTGTTACACAAATAACTATTATATATGTTTTAAATATGTTGTAAGATACGTAATTTATTTTTATCATCTGAAATATCTTCATTGTTTTTAAGAATAGTCTGCAAGTCTAAAGCAATTATTTCAAGCATCTGTTGTAATACCAACAATAGTACGTGAGTGCTTCTTTAGACATTGCATTATAAATCCTATGTTGTTTATAATAAAAGATAATCTTTAATGACAAGAAATATCCTTCATCTATGAAAAATGTTAAAATTGATGTAAATGCAAATTTTCAAAGTCATTTAAAGTTGTATAAATTTACATTGCAAATTTATCAAGTTAATTATAACATTGAAAAACCTATCTTATATTGTGTAAAAACACATATATAATTTTAAAATTTCGAAAAAAATTGAGAAAGATAATATATGCCAAACGGAATAATTTTGTCTTTAGACATTTTCTTTCCTATTCTTAAGAGCAAAAAGATATATTAAATAGAGATATTTTAAATAATAAATATTATAATGGACCTCCCTATACATATTTAAAGAATATATACTTTTGAAATATACAAACAGTGTTAACGTTCTTACCTATACGCTTCCTATGACTGAAACACATCATTAACAGAAGGAAAAGGCAGGTGCCACATATAAAAATAATTGTCATTATAACTTCGTAACCATCGTAACCAAATATTGAGAACGGTTTTGGTAGTGGAGGCATCGGTGGTGGTACTGGACAACTTTGTTCACAATCGACGCAACTGCAAGCTGGAGTATTTTTCTATAAAAAAGTTAAACATAAATTTTTGTAATCAATCTCTTTTGTTGTACTGTCTTGTTTGCATATTTCATTAATGTCTTATAATAAAAAAAAAAAATTTATAGATGCTCTTTGAATCTCTTTTTTACTGAATGACAATACGAGAGTGGTCTGTTAAAGCAAAATATCTAAGGCTGCGTTCTGATATTCACTGTCAGTACTGAAAATCTATAATGTACGTCAGTATTTGCCGTGAATATCGGAACGCAGTCTCAATACCTAATGCTTTTAAATTAAGTAATACTAAAAATATTGTATATAATATATAATGTAACGTGTCTTAAACACGTCTAACGCATCACGTTTTAATTAACTTTGATGACTTTTCATTTTAGTGTCATTTGATGTAAGAAAAATATATTCTTTTTCTATTTGAAAATATCATATTTATCATTTTAAAAACAATACGTTTGAAGAAATTTTTATTGCATCATATTTATTTCTTGAATCAAGTCCAACATTTTTTTCGTATAATATGAAATAATAGGCAACGTATATTTAGATATTCAACTTTTGGATCCTATAGTATACATATACACATAAAAAGTATATCTTATATTACGTTTAATCATGCATATGCTTTATTGCAAAAATTAATATAAATAAAATATTATATACGTCCGTGGAAATATAAAATAAACTAATCTATTTAATCTCTTAACTAATAAATATTACATGAGTTATTAAGAACTCGTTATTCTTGATCACCTGCTTTTGATTACCATTAAATTGCAGACTGATAAAAAGTATGATTGTGTGTGCATTGATCAGCAAAAAATCTAACCACTCACAGCCTTGTTCTTTTTCTGTTACTTATTCATTACATTTGTCATGTATAACGTAAAGTAAGAGTTGTTCAGAAAACTCGTGTGTGAATCAAAGAAAAAAGTGATTTATCGGTACTTGACAGACTCTTATAGGAGAAAAATGTGTAGGTACGGAATGCCGTACACACTTTGCGCTATACACTTGTTTTATTAAAAAGTTTTACGCTGTCACGGAATTTTATAGATTTAAAAGAGCCGTTGTGTGACATACATTTTTGTATGTCGTATTCACGCAAAAAGTTAATGTTGTATATTTTATAGGCATATACCGTTCTAATAAAAAAATTCTATTAAAAAAATAATACTAACGTTTAGCGCCGTACTGCATGGTGTGATTGGAGGGTCTACGGGCACAAATGATCCGACAGGTTTGTCAGTATTCACATATGTGATTTGGAAAGGTACATAAACATTATTCTCCGCATCACCCATATAGTGAAACCATTTCAAAGGAGTACATCTACTTGCACCCCATTCTCCGCACATTAAATCCAATGCTAACTGCCCCGTACTCGGCACTGACACCTTATTGCACGAGTTAAACGTGCCGTCAAGATATTTATTTGTTATATATACAGCTATCCCGTTAATATATTCTACACCTGGAAAGAGATTCAAAATAGTGAACGGCGTATCAAAATGTTATAAACATAAAATATTAAATCTTAAACATATTAAACGATGAAATATAATACGTACCATTTGCTTCGCCTTTCTCCGTAATGTTGATAAATTTGCTTTGATTAACAGCGCATGTAAAATCGCAAAAATGTTTCACTAAATTATCTAAGCAACTGGGGCATCTTTTTAGAAAATTTGACGCAAGCTTGATATTTGAGTCTAACGTAGCAAGCTGAGTTGTATCGCAGCAGGTATTAATTCCTTTGCCATCATCCACCAACAAATGTGGACAATGCTTAGCCAACAATTTTTGCCCTTCAGATGTCAATGGCTTCGGTGGTCCATCGTAAGGACAATACTTTTTGTGCATAGCTGCATCCGTGTAACATACTCCATACCATATACAATGATCATTTTCTTGACTGACAACCTGTTTGGAAATAATAACATGTTTAGACTTTCATTAAATAATCTACTCTTTCGTGAAACAAAACAGCGCGCGATAGACGTAGCTTGAACTCGAGGGCCAAAGCACATATGACAGTCGTAGTCGTGGACGTAAGTAACGCACAAGCTTTGGCGTATCCTGATCTGTCAGGTCGAGAACTACGACCGTCGTACATCGCTACGCCATGTTATGTGCTTTGACCCTAACTGTATCTAACGTCGTACTAACATGTATTAGTATCTATCATACTATTATATAAAACCCGACTGTTTGTCTGTCTGTCTGTCCGTCCGTCCGTCCGTCTGTCCGCGAACTACTCATTCGTTAGTGGACCGAATTTAGTATATTATAAATATAATGGATTAAATATCTTCATATTCGATGGGTGTCAAGTTTTACTAGCCACGCTCATGCAGGCATACTATATAAGAATATATAGAGTATTACATAAGGCATTTCCTAATTGAGTTCTTCATGACCTGCGTATTAAAGTCTGATGAGATTTATTTGAGTCAATGAGCTGAATTAATGATTTAATTCACCTAATATAAAACACAATATTGAATGAAGATGAAGAACTCTAACAAAGGAATGACATTTCGTTTCTTATTATAAAAGATATTTCTATATAGTGAGGTACACGACTAGCAATGGTAATAATATTGTATAAAACACGTACTTGCGTGTTTTAAATTAATTCCAAGTTTATTCAAGTAGTATATTAATTTATTAGACGTATTGTTTACTTCCGCGCGAGAGACATATTTCGTCTCTCTTCTGGTTACGACGTTTTATATTTTATTTAAAACAAATATTCGTTTAAATTTATTTCTGTTACACAAGTTATAACGTCTGTTAGAAAAAGAAAGAAAAGAAAGATAGTGTTAGATAAGCGATATGAGCAAGGGCGCTATCTTGTACGCATGAGAGTATATAACTAAAAAAATTATCATTTTTTACGTGTTTGCAAAAGAATGCTACTTGAAGAATTCAATAAACTAAATGAAGAGCTAACATAATGTAGTTAGATACTTTTATTCCTCTAATATGTAGCTAGATACATTTATTTCTCTACAATCAATTCGTACACCGAACGTGTATTTAAAAATAATATTATATCAAATTTTAATACGTCAACACATTCAAACTCATTTACTGGAAAACTTAATTTTTTGACGTACGTTATCGTTACAGCAAATGAGCGATATATTACACGAGAAACTATATGTTCGGTATCAGCTCTTCGTATGAGTCACTCGTTTATAAGGAGGTATAAGTCACGCAATGGGCGTTATACTTTGGCGTATGCCCGGCACGAACTGTAGAATGTTTTCAATCGTTTTTACAAATATTTCGTAATAAAACATGAAAAGAAAAAAAAAGCGCGCACGTTATATAATCTTATCGGTTTTTAACAACCTAGCGAAAAAATTTCCATAGGCATAGCAGGCATAGCATATTTTACGGATACGTTAATTTCTGTCATGCATGCGGATAAAAAATCTAACTAATGAGACGGCTGATGCGAAGAACGGTAGGAAATAATATCTATTATATCTATTACATCACGCACGTCTTTAATATTCTATTTACACGTATCACCGTCCACGTAAATGCATCTAGATAAGTCTCGAGTCTCTCAAGTAGATATACTATGATGTAAGAAGGAATCTTTAAGCAGACGACTGGCATTAACACGAGCCTTGTTTCTAGCTGCACTTGTTAACTCTTTCCTGTCGCGACGCGAACAGACAACCGCTGAGAACGCAGGGTAACAACTCGACACGAGAACATGGCATGATATACATAATATTACACTTGATATATAATAATTATTTATGTATTTGAACTCGTTAATTAAGCAGACGTAGCAAGCGGTCGTATGGGTATACTTAAAAAAAAAAAAAAAAAAAAAATTTCTACAATCTGATTTATAGAACTAAAATTCGTGGACGTCTGATATATTTTATAATAAAAATACGAGTACACAAACCAGTTGAAGTCTAAAATCTCTAGTCCAAAAAGTATTACAACTGAAGAGATAAAAGCTCTCTCTCTCTCTCTCTCTTTCGTTTTGAGGTACAGAAAATAATATATATTATAGAAAAAAATAAATTTTATTAACGTACGTCTGTTCTCTCTTACACTTTTCATAAGCACAGACATGGTTCTATCAGTTTTGTTACGTCATTTAATATCTATAGGTATATAGACTCAATATATTTATTCTTTCTTTTTCCTTATTATTTTCAAAGTGCTCTTTTATATATGTATACACATAGTCATCTTTAATTTTAAACAAGAAAATATAGATAAAGCTAAATGGAACATAGTTGTTGTGTGATGTAGATATAGAGATGCTTCGGGTGTGCGTGTGTCGCAACCCTAGATTCTTTGTTCGATAGTAAATGGTCAACAACTATCGCTCGCGTCGTTTCACGGACAAACCGACTACGTACCTCGACTTTCTTTCCTTGGTATTACAAATACCTACATGTTGGCGACGGATCTAAAAAGGGACACGCGCACGTAAATTAACGGAAGTCGCGAGTCGCGATATAAACGGGCAAAAGCTCGTCTAGAATTAAAGTCTCGTTGACGGAGTCATATGTCGATAGGATTTGGGCGAGTTGGCTTGTTGGCTAGCTCGCAGACGCAGCCTGTCAAAAACATATCTCGTCGGCCTCGACTGGCCTCGACCCACAAACACGAAAACATGTTGTGCGCGTTCGTCAAGACACCTGGCTTTTCCAGGCTTTTCTCGGAGTTTGGACGGCGGTCAGAAGTCCGCACTCCGCAGGAACGAGTCGACGCGACATTCTCGGAGGACGGGAAAGGCAGTTATAGGCTTTCTCGGCGATCAGCCGAGGTGACGTCACGCGTCGCGTAAGCCCCCCGTTGCCCGTCGATCCTACTTTGCTGGGGTGTGGACAGTGTATAGCATAGCAGTTAGCACGGTATAGAATAGACAGGTAGGGAAAGATGTGTATATCGTGGTGTGCGTGTGTGCTTGAGAGCGCGCGCCAAGAGAGACCGTAGAGACGAGGGAACGGGAAGCAGGAAAGAGAGAACGAGCGTTGACGTGACGCACGCGCGTCGCGCGTGGAGCATGAGCGTCGCAAAAAGGATACGCGACGCATATATCTGACCTGACCGTCGTCGCGTACCTTATACGCAGGACGCGGCGTACTCACCGGACTCGCGAGGCTGGACAAGGTCAGCAGAAACAGCAACAGGGGCCGAAGAACATCGTTGCGCGTCACGGCGGCGCCTATCAAAGTCCGATGGACGGCCGCGCTCGCGCTCGCGCTCGCGCTCGTTAAACTAGTCCTGTGCATCGCGTGGCGTTTGGCGTTTCACCCTGGCCCCGCTGAATCCTCACGCTCGCTCGAGTTCTGCTCTGCTGGATACACGCGAGGTATCACAAGGCGATCATCGCACGCGGGAACACCTTCGGGCCTCCTTCGATGACGTTCGTCGCGTCACTCGCGCAAGCAAGACCTCGACTCCGTCCTCCGTCTTGCGAACGATCAACCACACTGCTCGAGCGTCACTTGGTCACTGCCGACAATGCCGACTGCTCGCGACTCACGACTGGCACGACTGCTCGGACTGCTGCGCTGCGCTTCGGCCAACCGGGCCAACCCCGCCGCGCCGCTGCGAGCGCCGCTAGCGGCGCCCGGCTGTTTTTAATCCGGTGACCCGCCGTGACTCGAATGACTCGAATCACCTCGAACCTCGACGCGCACAAATCACGCGAAGCAGCTGCGTATCTCATAAATCTCATTACCTCTTGATGCGCTCGGATAAGAGTCAAGAGTATATAAGACGTTTCGAGGCTTTAATAGTTTGCGCGATCGACGCGATAGCGAGCTACGTACTGCGCAAACATCGCGCAAAAAGCAAGCACGAATAACAGCTTACATGCCCAAGTTTCGCGTAGCGCTTCATACTGCGTAATCACGTGATCGCGGTTACCTTGAGTCTTTCTCGGCACGATGCCAACGTTCGCGACGCGAATCCAACATAATAACATTCGACACAACATAATAACAACAACACAAGATATACTATTAGTATTAGCATAAAGCCATGAAAGAAGTACACGTGGAAACCAGGGAATCCAGTTGTAAAGCTTCAGTTTTGAAAGTCTCGCCAACATTGATAAACGTCCAGTTAGTTTGCGTTTGTACTTCATTGAGAGATCCATATAGACGAAAACCGCTCTTCTACTTTCAAAGCGACGTGTCCGCGCGTAATACAAATTACAAACAACGTATCCTTGCTTCTCTTTGGAAGATGAGACATAAAAAATTGACAAAACGTTATATCAAATAATGTGTTTTCTATCTCGAAAACTAGGCCTTTGTCCATTGACTTATGCCGTCCTCTATATGTGTGTCTATATTATCTATAATGATATCCACTTTACAGCTTCCGTCGAGAAGCGATACGAGTACGTGCACAATACAATGAATCATTATTTGCTCTCAGAAATGAAATAGTACATGTCCAGATGGATTACGTTCTAAATAAATATATCTTATAAAAGAAATACTTGAAGGGGAACAAGTGACAGATTTAGAACTTGCTTTTTAATCGAAAACCTTGATCTCGTTCGTTCTTTAAATACAAGGTTATCCGTACATCCGGGACATCTGTGTTATATTGATACGCGGAGAAATGAAGAATACGCTGAGCATATAAAGCAACATCTTACGAACCTAGAAAATCAAATGTTAAAATGTGAAACGTAGTGTTACGAAAGTTTATTAAGCTTGTAAACTAAAGTATTTAAACGTAACCCTAGCTCGCCACGCTTCGGTCCAGTGGACCGCTCAAGGTTTTTCGGTTTTCTAGTTGTCACATATAAACACATAATTTTCTAGTTTCCTCCAAGTTCAGTTTAAATTCAAATCCATTTTTCTTGGCCTGATATTATCACATAAACATCTTGATCAAAATCTGTATTTCCATATTTCTACACTACAAGCTTGACTCGAAATAAAGTGTGGCTATATATAAGCTAGGGTTAAATTTATTACGTAAATCTTAAAGAATCAAATCCCTGTTTTTAAGGAGCATGTTCCGTGTGCACTTTCGATTTGTAATGTAAGAGCATGTGCGCGTGAATCACCTCGTGTATAAAATATTGTCATAGAATATTCTTGGATCTCTCATAAACGATAATCATTTCGTAGGCGTGAATCACGAGATAGGAATGCGTCACGATCGATGTGAGATACATACCGATAGGTATATTTTATTAGTGTCTAAAATACAGAGGGGCATTAAATATTGCTTCGTTAAAATATTGTTTAGCTGGAGCTGCCATATATTGATATATTTTACCACGCGTGTGTACAAATACAATTTTATAAATATACGCATGCGTCATCATAAAACTTAAATGTTAAAAGACTTTAAAAACACATACTCTAAAGCTTATATAAAATATCTTAAAGTAATGAAAATATTTACACGATTTAATCCAACGTTTTATCTTGCGTACTAACTTTATTGTAAATTTGAATAATTGACCTTGAATAATTTTATTATATATCATCTTTTGTTATCGTACTATCCATATGATCAAGCGACACGATAGTGCGCAACGCCAAGTATATATATATAAATCTTTTCATTAATACATTTATTTCATATTTAAATAATACATATATATCTATATAGCACGTCTTTCACAGACTGTATTTGTGTTAGATAAAATAAACATACATAAAAGATTAGTTAATATGATTACGGATGTTATATATTTTGTCTAGCAGCGTCAAAAGTTTCTTTTCTCGTTGAGTTGATTTCCGTGTATACCCATTAGCTTGAAGTCAATAAATTAAGAAATATGAATATTTCTATACGTTACTATGTAATAAACCTCAAAATAAAACAACGAATCATATCGCTTTAACGTCATCCTTGACCTTGATTCTTCTTTTTTTTGTTCTCCTTGGGATGTTGCTTCGACGGATCGGTAAATCTACAAAAATGCGGTAACACAACTGTTAGGTGAACATAAAAATTGAAATACATGCACGTATCAAGTACCTATAACATGAAAATGCTAAACATTCTCATGTTATCACGTCGTATTTAACGTCACGATTTAACGTATCGGATAAGAAAAGGTAAAACTGCGCGCTCATGAATTATTTTATCTCTTTTCGAAAGATACATACGTCAAGCGCCTGTGAAAAAATAGTAGGCATACTACGGCGGCCACACTATTGTCAGGTCAAGGCTAGCAGAACGATTCAGGACATTCGGAAAAAGGTAAATAAAACGAGAGCTTATACATATAATATAAGTAAGCAGAAGGCGCGCGCGCGCGCGCATGGTTTTACTTATAATATAGATTTATATAAATATTAAGAAATGTAATATCAGAGGACGTGAGTGGTAAAAAGGTACTAAATATTACAAAAAATTCGTTTAATAAGATGACGTAGGAACGTATAATATGCGCTTAACGACAACTTAACTTAGCTGCATACGTTCATCGCCCACTTGAGAAAAATAAAAAAAGATTATCGCAAATTATAGAACCGGTATTTATATACTTGATCTTATCTTAATCGGTTCTCGGAAGAATTTAAACTTGCTTCAGTTCAAAATACGATTAAATTTGCCTTCGTGTTACGTCAGTATTATACGTCGATTTTTTTCGAACCTTAGAATGATACACGTATGTGCAACTTGCAAATGAGAAATAGTAATAAATCAATCGGCCGTGCTGGTACTAATAATCATGCACGAATAATCATACAATAATTCAGACTTCTCTTTCTTAATGGAACGACAATGTTAGAATTATGTTTATTATTATCACAAACTTTTTTGCTTGCACTGTAAAATGATGTATAAATCAATTTTTTTTAAATTTTATCATAAACATATCCATAACGTGATAAAATGTCCTTCCTTTTTTATTGCCATGTATTAGTAAATGCACATATGTATACAATGTATTAGTCTGTATCCTATATTTCTAACAAAAATGGTAATTACTGATTAAAATTTATGATTATTCACATATATTTTGCCAATCTGTAACATTACGTGTGCGTGTGACACACTAAAATTAATTTATTTCAACATATAGTATAAGGAATAATTTATCATATATATATATATTCATAATTTTTAATTCTGATGATAATTCAATACATTTAAAGAGACAGAAGTTTTAGGGTTAAATCAGTACTAAATCAGTATGTAACAGTTCTAAATAAAAATATCTTTCAAAATTTAAAAAATTACATCTAACTGCATCTACAAAAAAATACATCTAATAAACTCACATTTTCTTATTTAAAAAATAAATTTTATAGACAACGTACGTGTATAAATGTAAACGTAATCGTGTTTAAAATAATTTGTCAATTTAATTAAAGAATGTAGCTTCGAAAAAGAATTAAAGTATTTTAACACGTTATTTTAACGTATAAAAAGAATTATAAAAACTTTTTCTACGCAGATATTTTCGGCTGTATAACATTTTTTCTTCAGTCATTATAGCTGCCTCTTTAAATATTTTTTGCTGCTACAACACGTTTTTATTTGCACGTGCGTTCTGTACTTGCAGTTTTTAACGAATTTGATACGATGAGTTTTGATTTCTCAGGACTTTTACAAATTTTTATCGATGGATTTATGGGGGTATTTGCTGTGTTTAATATCCTTAAGATCTTTATCTGGGGGGAAAAAAAAAACACGTGTAACATTGTCAGCTATTCTTCGATAATAGAATACGATTAAACATCATATTTAAGACCGTTTTTTATTAGGTTCCACGCTAAATTTTTTGCTATTATCTGTGTTTGTTTGTAAAAACGTTTAAATATTCTTCAAGTATATAGTTCAAGTAAATCTGTGCACGTCAATTCTAAATGTTATTAATAGCGTAAATTGATTATGCGCTACATTGTATACATATTTTTCAATTTTTTGTACTAACTTTGCCTGCTACCAAGAATATAATAATACTGTTCCTTATAAAAAACAGCTATGGCTCTTCATCGGAATTTCTGTGAAGAAACGTGATAAATAGCATTTGAAAATTTTGTACGAAACTATTATTTCTATGTATTGCAAAATTATAATAAATGTTAAATTATAAAGGTATCTCTTTACGTAGTCTATTCTTTCTGCCGAGAAATTTTTCTGCACGTACGAGATCCTATTCATTTTCATACGTAATAAATTTTTTCTTTATATAATTATTGAATTTACGCCTGATTTAGAAATTACAGGAGATAAACAATAGTAAAAAGGAAGATTAAACGGCTTATTTTATCACGCAAAAAATACTTGGACATAATTATATTACAAAAGTATATATATTCGTAGCTTTCTTAACTTGACAACGTTCAACAAGCGTTTTCTCTAATACGAATAAAAGTTAAATAATTTTTTTTTTTTAATAAAAATAACTTTGTCTTTCTGTGCTGATTTAATCCTTTACGTCGTATATTTACGTATTCGTTACATCGCGTACAATATGTATATATGTGCATAATCACCTAGTGCAAAATTTACGTCTCTTGTGCACCGGAAATAGCATTGGCCTGTACGCGTATCTTATATTTACGTTAAACTGACCATGCAATCGTCTTGTTTACGAAGAGATAAGTAGTTTTTAGTTACGAATTTTGTGCATGAAAAATACGTTACGTATAATAAGTACGTAGTTCTCAAATAGTTATAATATGTATATTTTAGATTGTAACGTTATATTGTTGCGTTAAATGCACTATAAAACGAAAAGGCTACGATGATAAAAATAAAATCGTCGATATATAATGTTAACATATAATGTTTTAGTTAATGATGTTGAATTTATTAACTGCCCCATTAATATGAATGCGTGATATGCGACAAGATAAAGCACAAGAACGTGCGTATCCAGCATACATTTTTATTAGTGACTTGCAACGCATGAGTAGAAATACGTAGATCGGTTGAAGCAGCCACGCGTAGTTATAGCTCATAAGCTTCTTAGAGACGCAAGCATTAATTTGCTCAATAGATAGTTAACTCTTGCACGCGAGAATCATGCTTGAAGTCTTCCTGTTTTTCTCCGTTTTCAGAAAATAGAGAGAACCGTGGTATCTATTCTTAATGTGTGGTATTTGTTAAAAACAAGATGACCACATTCGCACACGTTAGAATCTCGTTCGATGTCTATTTATTCGAAGCGAACATTTATATACGGATTTATTCATTAAAGCTAAGAAATGATACGACACAGAAAATGGAACGTACAAATTATTGTTTCGTTACGACAAAATACGTGGGATAACAGTTTTATATAATATATATATATATAAAAGAATGCTTGAATTTAAATATATCTTTTATCAAATTTTCGAATTTTTAAATTTTACAGAATTTTAAAATCACATATCGTATCATATGTGTCAAAACGAACGTACTGATGCATGTCTTTAATTTATCGACTATTATTAATGAAACATCGTGAGTATAAAATGAATTGATTCCGAATGGAGCAATGTCGCAATTTATGTAATTATAGTATATAAATATAGATTGCGAACGAGTTGAGATATAACTTACTTGTCGAGACTAAAAAATATACGTGTTCAACGTTCGTATAGTATACGTCTTTATATATTCTTCCTTCGTGTTGTGTATTTATTATAACCACTACGTAATAAAACCGAACGTTTGAATATTTATGTCAAATGTATATCAAAAACTATACGTACGCGTTGATCAAGACATGCAAATATTACGTAATATCCTCACCTCTATAACCCAACGGAGTGACATCAAATGACGTATTACGTCCGTTTCAATGATCTCTAATGTCAATAATACGTCATTCTTCTTCTTTCGATAAATGGCACCTGCCTCTTGTCAGAGATCAATACGGCCAGTAATAATACGTCATTAAGACATTTATTTAGATGTCAATATCCTGCTACCTGGGGGACATACAGAAGCGTATGTCTTAGTGTAAATAATCATATTATTTTATTATTATACTGTAAATCCTAAATAAAGTTATTAAAACGTGACGTTCTATTTAAGAAATAAACTGTTTTCAAATCTCCCGAACATGCGTAACTAATGGAGGATTCACACTGCGTCCAATGTCCACGTATGTACAATGTACATACGTACATACGTACGACGTCCGATATCCAATAGAGAAGAGTTCGTTTTCTAGAAACTCTAGAGAAACTCCCACAGTCTCTAGACAACGAACTCCTCTATTGGACATCGGACGCAGTGTAAATCCTTCATAAGGCAGTACCACGGACGTATATACGTCATTAAGTACCACGCATACGATGGAATCGTACATACCTTCTGCCAACGCGTCATTAAAATTTTTAAAGCTGAACTTGTTGCACAGTTCATCTTTTCTCTTATTTTTCTTTTTACGTTGGAAAGCAAACGTTAGCACGTTAGATGCAACTTTTAGCCCCATATTTCTTATCACGGCTCATTATCTTCTTTTTGCTGTTTTTGCTGACAACGAATTAAGCGTCTAAACACAGCTAGACTTCTGTATAGGTACTGTTTAGAGGTTTAGACTGCACCATGGACGTAGATCTGAGATCTGAACAGAACGTAAAGTATTCCTTTAGATGGGAGAAGTGAAACTTTGAGGAGTGAGGGGAAAATCCATTGGGACCATCTTGATTGGTCAGATTTTGCATATACGACATATCTATTTTAACGTCCCATTGACGTACGTTTAACCGTAGTTTTACGTGCTGCGATTCAAAGTTAAGTATGTATTCCGTACGCAAAGGAGTGGAAGCGTAAATATAAAGTAAACCACATACCTTGTACGTAACCGTCACTACCATTTTACGTGATCACGTAAGATTCTTATTTTTCCCTTCAAGCTTGTTTGGTCCAACGAGAAAGCACGTGGTGTTGCGCGACACGGCCGACACGATCGCGATACTCGCGATGCACTCGATCGTGAAGTGTCGTGAACGCTTGCGGAGGGTGCAGGCGACGGCGCACCGGGCGCACGACCACGCGCGACACGACCAGGATATTAACGTGAATCTAACCAATCTGGCAATCTAACCTCAGTCGAGTTGTGGAGACGTGAGACGTGAGACGTGAGACGTTGGCGCTTGGCGCTTGGCGCATCCTTGACGTGACGACAGCGTAGTAGCGTAGCGGTCGGTAGTAGTAGTTGACAGGTATCAGCTGTTCCAGTAAATAAACCGCCGCGCGTCGACAATGGACGACGTCGACGTCGAGGATGTCGCGCGGGCCGACCAAACGTCCGACGAGGACGTCAGCGTCAGCGAGTCGGACGACGGCAGCGAGTACTCGTCGCGTAGCGAAGGTGACTTGACGTGGTACGTTATGTCGGATTCGATTCTCCTGAGCATCTTCCAGTACCTGTCGCCGAGGGAGCTGATGACCGCGGGCGCGGTGTGTCGATCGTGGTACAGGGTGTCGCGCGACGAGTTCCTCTGGAAGTATTTATTTTATCGGACGTACAAGATAGATCCGGATGTCGGCATCGTGCCAGGTACGTCCCGCCACGAGCCACGAGCCACGAGTGTATTCGCGCTTCTTCACGATCCGCGATCGAAAATAACATTATCCGCCGGATATTGCATTAGAAAAAAAGTATAAATTTATACCGACGAATTTACTTTCCGACGAAGATCGATTCAAGCTCGGAGCAAAAGCTGCTAGATCAGCTGACGTGGATAACGATTCTACATATAGCAAATGAGAAAGCACGAATAGTGGAAAATAATAACAAAGCAGTGTTTAAAGAGAGTGATATGCGTCAAATAAGTTTTGTAATATTGTAACGTTCTACGTATTGAGAGATTAGTAGCACGGTTCATTGTCTGAGCGTGTTCCTTTCTTATTAATCTTATTAACAATAATGTACATATAATTTTAATATCTTTCAAGGGGTTTTTCTGATATTCTAGAAAAGCTTTTTATGTACATAGAGAAATCCCACATTACGTAATTGATTTATTTCCATATGTATAATATTCTTTTCTTTTGTAGGAAAAACCTCCTGGTTGGGAGAATTCAAACGTTTGGCATATCACACTCCATTGATAGAAACTGAAGTTCTTAAAGAACATTCGCATCAGGTCTTACACGTGAGCTTTTCTCACAATGGCAAAATGTTTGCAACCTGTTCAAAAGATGGATATATTCTTGTAAGCTTGTCTCTCATCTTGCACGTATTATTTTCTCTCTCATGCTACAACTTACATTTGTCACTCGCATGATTTTGTTTCAGGTATGGCAAAGTCAGTATCCTGTTACCATAAAATATTTGCATGATATGAAGACATTTAGTTGGAAGTACACACAATTTTCCCAGTTTAATTGTACAGATACGTTGCTTCTTGTGTCTGGTGTCCATTTTGGTACACCCCACAGTACTTCGGGAGAAATAGCAGTATTCAGAGTAGCACGTAAGTGCAAGCGAGAGCGTAAGATCTTATACGTATCAATAAAATAAAGATTATACGATGCAGACAGATAAATCTTAAACGGGGAATCAACAAACGTATCTGACGATACAACGTTTGATAAAAGAAATCAATTATCTTGTTCAAATAAATGCTTATATATATATATATATATATATATATATATATATATGTGTGTTTTCTGCTTATTTGTAGCTGGCTTTGACCTTCAATGTAGAGTAGTGAATAAGCCGTATGACATATTTGGTACATGGTACAGTGAACGTTACCTTTTGAGTGGAAATCTGCATTGGCTGGCACATTTGGTCAGTACTAGCGTAGTTTGGCTCAATAAGGCAAACCAGGAATCAGCTAGCGAACATGTGCCCATTATGACGCAGCTCTTTAGGTAAAGTAACAACTCGGTATATCTTTTTAATCGACCACGTTAACTTTTTGTTGGAAACGTAAGCAAACTTTTTTAAATGGCGTGTAATATTTTTATTTTTTTTATAATGTAATGATTTTCAGATTCTATAATGGAAATGCTTCCTCGATTAGGGCAATTATGGTTGCAAATTGTTTAGCACCTGCTCCAGCTGAATCCACCGAACAACAGAGCCAACCATCTTCCTCGAACACAAAGGAAGAAAAAGGAAACCCACCGAGTCACAAGGATTTGTTGTCGCCTTCGGGCGAGTCTAATAGCTCGCAGACGCAGGAGGAGCCGGTATACTACATTACGTCATCGAGAATACAGTATGACGTTCTTTTTTTATGTATATATAACTTGTATCATATAACTCTTATTAGCACGTAACATTATATATAATATATAAACACATGATAGATATAGTAAATTAGAGGGTGCATTTTCGAATTGGAGAAAACTTGGTGATGGTTTTGAATATGCTAGTCCTATACAGTACAATCAGGAATATAGGCAGGTTGAGATGCAAAAGAAGGCGCATAGCGAAAGCGATAGCGAAAGTGAGACGCCACAGTGGGAAGAAGAAAGCGAGTCTGGAGGTAGGAAACATACATGCGTATGGCATGGCACGAAGAAACTGTAACCGGCCATTCTACGCACTGTAGGACATGATGAAAAAAAAAAAGTGTTTACAGAATCTTCAATAACCGAAGAATGTGATACAGACGAGTTAGCCAATAATCCTGAGAAACTTCTTATTTTTACAACTGGCTCAAAAACATATACTCCGCATAAAGTTGGCTTTAAGAGGATCAATGTAGTCACTTTTCCACGAAGATTGGATCCAGGACCGTCGCTGCGCGAGAGAATAGCGCAACAAAAGAGGGAACGAGAGAGACAGAATACTCCGCCGATGGAAGATTGGTTAAATTATGAATCTGTGGCGGACAAATTCGATAAAATAGATCATCTAATTGATCTTCATGGTCATATTATTGGAATGGGACTTTCTCCCGATCATAGGTCAGTTATCGACGTCGATACGTGAGGTAAAGTGAAACATGAGATATGTGTATGTGTACGACTCATTTTATGCATGTCTCCAGGTATCTTTATGTAAATACAAGGCCGTGGCCGAAAGGTTACGTTATTACCAATCCTTTACAACCACCGCCAATAGCTCAAGAAATTGATATCCATGTGATCGACTTGGTAACGTTAAAACAAGTTGGCACGATGTTAAGAGCCCACAAAGCATATACGCCTAATAACGAATGTTTCTTTATATTTTTGGATGTATGTAACGAATACGTAGCGAGGTACGTCGTACGCTTGTATTTACGTTGTTGCTTTAACGTGATATAAAATTTTATGTTCAAAATATAAAACATTGTTATAAAATATCTTTGTTTGCAGTGGTGCGGAAGATAAACATGGTTACTTATGGGATAGACATTATGGAATTTGCTTAGCAAAGTTTCCCCACAGTGATGTAGTCAATTCAGTAGCTTTTAATCCACGCGATCCTGAGATGTTGGTTACAACCAGTGACGACTATACAGTTAAAATATGGCGGAGTCGAGCTATGGTGAAGGCTTTAGGTTTAGATGAAAAGTCCTATCGTAGGGGGATGGAAGTGCGAAAGAGACATAAGTTTCAGAAAAGTGGTACTAACATTGACTGACTAAAAACTATTAAATTTCCGATTTAAACATTTATTTTTACAAGATCTTAGAGATATATTTTACACTTAAGTTATACTATACAAAATCGTCCAGACGTATTAATACTATTATTGCGTAAAAGCACAAATATAATGAGAATATATTTTTTGATTATCTGGAATTATACAAATGCAAATATGCAGACTTTCATTTCTTGGTAATATAATATTAGAATCTCATTAGATGAGTGCTTCTATTTTGGGAAAAAAAAAAGTAAAAATGACTAAGAATGTTGTTGAATGTAAGAAAATGAATATCATAAAAATATATTGTTGACGTGTCTGTTACAATGCAAAATCAGAAAATATCTAACGAAAGATTAAAAACGTACATACGTCACTTAAAGCGTACTATAAAATTATTTTTTAATTTTCAAAACTCAACGTAATATTAAAGTAGTGTGATCTGTTTATTTCCACCAACGTAGATTAACTTTAATCTCGGTGTAACTTACTTTTTATCTTTTTCTAGTTCTTGGAATTAAAAGATAAAAAGTAAGTTAAACCGATATATTAAAATTAATCTACGTTGGTAGAAATGGAACGTAATGATCAAAACGTGTCCTACCTATTCCATATGGCATATTGTATATACACATTGATAATTTCTCAAGATATTTTTAAATATCTCAAATATGTCAGCTTAAAATTTATCCACAGAGTCTATATATATACATATATATATTAAAACTAGTTTTAAATTTTATCTCAACGAAATTTAAACATGAAACTCAATGAAAGTGTGCAATGAACATTAAGTTTCTTTCTGGTTATACGTCTTTTCACGTATACCTAATAACGGATTCTCTTATTTCGTCTGTTTGGTTTTCATGTATATTTGAAATATTTACAACGTTCATTTACCTACGCTTAGATAGAGGAAACAAGGAATAGATGTAAATGTACATTATTTTCTATCTTTTTTTGTCTTTAACGTATGTAATGCGACATACGTAATTATACGTATACGTGTACGACAATACATGTCGTACGTTGTAATACATTATTTCATTTTTTGAGCTTGTATTATAGAGTACGTGCATTATAAGATTATAAATGTAATAAATCTCTCAAACAAAAATTAAATTTCGACATGTTCCTAATCTTTGTATTAGAAAGTGATTTCAAACTTGGCCTAGTAATAATGAAATATATGAACTACGCCTATCGTACGTAACGTGTTGATACAAGTCACAAAATAACAATACATTCATATTTTTCTAGCGCATAAAATCTAGATTTCTATTAGATTAGTAAATAACGCACAAATGGTACTATGAAGAAAATCGGAGATAAACATATAAGGAATGACAAAGTTATTTTCCAAAGACTGTGTTGAGTACGTTACTATTCGCAAGATATTATGACTTGTGTAACACGTAGCAATATGAACAACACTTAATAATCTTCCGTGCGACACTGTTAAAACACTGTAATATAAATATATGTGCTAGCGCAAAATCATACTTAAAGTTTGTGTAGGTACCTAAAACGACAACGCAACATGATATCTACGTTATATTTTGATATATTTTCTCGATTATTGTATGTTTTATATAATATTATTACTCACCTACAGTCCATCATCTTTTTCTGTATGACACTGACTCGAGAAATAGCATAAAGGACGTTATTTTCCATTTAGGGAAAAGTTGTCAATAAGCATAAAAACACTTATGTTGAACCTGTTGCAATCGGTTCTATAAGAAGAAAACATGAGATAAGGATACGTTAACTGGTTAACAGAGATACAAATGCATACTTAATTTACTATGAAAAGTTTACCAGGATGTGATGACATTCCTTCTCGCGCAGGATCACCAGCTTTAGGTAAGACTTTCTTATGAGCATCCTTATGTCCATGACAATGTTCGCATTCATCATCGCTATCTTCAGAGCTACTTTCACCGAAAGTTTTTGGTTTCTCATAAATACAACAACCTGTAAATGAAACATCGTGTACGAACTTAACTCTTTCTGCCAAACAAACTTAAAAGCGTGCACAAAGATAATAAATAAATACCTACATTTTGATTTCTTTTTATTTAGATTTTCATTATCTACAGTTCCCTGAGTCCATTGGACTTTTTTATTCGATTTCGGCTTTCGTAGGCGTAATCGTACGGTAGGTACATCCTGTAAAAACGTGACACGTTTAATAACGTAATAAAATTCATTAATAAAAAATCATTAATCACATTTTAAATTATAAGTAGATAGTACGTGTTGAACAGATATTTATTATAATAAACATAATAAAAAAATGTGTTAATGTAAAACTGGAGGTACACACAAATAACATTTACAAGTTTTTATTCCGTACTATTTATTGTAGCGTAATATATCTTGAAATTTTTAAACATGTGATATATATTATATGACATATATTATATATACCTATATACACATACACACACACACAACATGATAAAATACAAATCTTGAAATATATAATATACACATAATATAATACAAAAAATACATCTTAATACAATAATCTTATACACGCCGTATTATCAAAACTACTTTCTAAAAACTTTGTTTCGCTATAAAATTTGATTAATATTAAATAGTGTGAGATTTGTTATCTGAATTTTATATAAAAGTACATAAAACTAATGTATAAAAGTGAAAACTACTTTTTAAAAGCATTAGGAAAAGTTTTAATAAAGTAGGCTCATATTTATTAAATAAAATTGAGATTTCTCTCATCTGCTGCTGTATATAGATAGAAAGGGACTCTCTCATGTCATCATTAATTATCGTACGACTTTTTGTGTTATTAACGTGTCTATTTTATCATCAGAATAGTTTAATATATTTTTTAAAACTTCCGATGTATGTTGTCCTAATGTCGGTGGTGGGGATCGCACTATATTGGTAGCGTAGCTATATGTCACAGGTGGTCCAACAAGTTTTACTTTGCCTGTACGCGGATGATCCACTTCTTGAACCAACTTTATGTGTTTTACATGGGGATCGTCGAATACCTGAAATGTACACGCCAAGTTCAAGAAAATGAAATTTATTACGTTGTTAATAACACATCGAGATCAGTTCAGCGTGCGTACGTCACCTCTCTTATAGTATTTACTGCTCCATAAGGAAACGAAGCCCCTTCAAATATTACAGACCATTCCTGCGTTGTCTTCTTTTGAAGTGCATCTCTAAGACGTTGAAGCAGCTCCGTTCTGTTTTTAACTCTAGCTATGTTACTCTCAAACTTGTCGTCAGTGGCGAGTTCTGGTATTTGTAATCTTTTGACTACGTCGATAAATTGCGCGTCGCTTCCTGCCCCGATCGTCATGTATCCATTTTTTGTGGGAAAGGCTTCATAAGGGACTATGCTCTCGTGTTCAGATCCCCATCTCGTCGCCTCCTTATTACCATTCAAGTAATTTGAAGCAATGTTTATCAGACTCGCGACTTGGGTCGACAAGAGATTGCACTGTATCCATTGGCCTCTGTTGGTCTTGGATCTTTGCAGTAAAGCTGCCATAATCGCTCCGTGAGCGTAGAGACCTGTCGCCAGATCGGTCATCGCTACGCCGACCTTGCACGGTGGTCCGTCTTTGGGCCCGGTGATGTGTAAGAGGCCGCCTAACGAAGCAGCGATGACATCGTAACCGGGTCTATTTGCGTACGGGCCGTGGAATCCGTAACCGGTCAACGAGCAATATATGAGACGCGGTGCTATCTTGGCCATATCCTCGTATCCTAAGCCCATGCCGTTCAGCTTTCCCGGCACGTAATTTTCTACCAGGATGTCGCACATCTGCGCCAGCTCGTAAATGATATCTTTACCCTTCTTCAAATCGACGCAAACGCTCTTTTTGTTTCTGTTGACGCTCATGAAGTAAGTCGACTCTTGCGTTCCTCGGAAGAACGGCGGGCCCCACTTGCGCGACTCGTCCCCGCCGTCGGGTCGTTCGATCTTCAAGATTTCCGCGCCTAGATCACCCAGGATCATCGTGCAGTAAGGACCGGCCACGATCCGCGTCAGATCCAAAACTCGTATCCCGTTTAGCGGCGAACGACTGTCTTCGGGGTCTTCGACTTCACGTCCGCAGCTCTTCGGCGTGCGTACACTCGAGTTCGAGAAAAACATCTCGCCCGCAGCGCGGTTTCGCCCGCGAGTCGCAAGTACTCCACGTATCATATCGACAGTATCTAAAATGTCAAACGAGGCTGGAAACTGTTACGTGCCGGACCGGACGCGACGTATTATTTTAAAATGTTAGAGACACTGACTTTTACTCCAAAAGGTTTACGCGTATACTTGAAAAGTATAAATAACGTGCGAGTCCAAGTCGAAGCTTCGTCGCTACGAGTTACAGTTAAAAATTCAAACAGATATCAAGATCTTTACTTATTGAAAAAGAACTTTGTGTTAGATGATAACCAATATAAGGATCGACCTGGAAAAAGAAAAACTAGAACTTAGAATCATGAGAAAAAATAAAAACAGGGTAACGAAGATAAAAGCACACGTCAAACATACCCAGTTATATGAGCAATAGGCGTTGGCACCTAGACCTAGATTTTTTTCTTTTTAAAATATAAAAGCGTGCAACGCGCAGATTACGAGATAAAGGCTTAATAGAATATTGTATATTAGGCACTGTTTGCTGAAAAACTATTTGAGAGAATGAATAAGATGTTTGAAAGGCTTTGAAAATGTTGCGGCGTGTGGCACGTAACAGAACGCGTAACCTCGTCGCAGTTAGGTATACCGATATTACCGATATGAGTGATATGACGCGGCGGTTTCTGCGAACGTCCAAAAAAGGATTGCGGCGACGCAATCAGATAAATGACGTGAGTGACAAAAGTTGTATGCACGACCTACTGCCTCCAGCTTTCAACCCCTCCGATAAACGATCACTCTTATCGCGTCAAGGCCAAAAACACCTCGTGACACCTCGTGACGTTTCGGGCCACGCGGGCCCTACAAGTCGCGAGTGCGACAAATATGCGTAAATACCTGCGATCCGGAATCGGTGACGTCCGCCTCGGAGATTGTTTCCGTTTGCGTCTGCGAAGCCGCTTGCTCCGACATCGTTCTCTCCATGTGTCGCGGTTGACGCGCGAAGGACACGCACGATATCGATATCGCCGATCGCCGCTGATCGCCGCATCAAACGTAACCTCCCAGCTCCCACGCGCTACGCGCTACGCGCAACCCTGCCCAGCTGCCAGCTGCCCCTCTGCCTGCCCGGGCTCGGGGCTGCTGCCCTAGTCCCCATTGCCGCAGTGCTGCCAAATTGGCAGTGTCAATATTTTTTTCTTTTTGGTCAAATAGGCTCTAACCTTTTTTTCCCCGTCTTACTTTTTTTTTAAGTAGAATTTCCACGTTTTTGCCAAGTTCACGTTTTTAAAGCCCTCTGAACAAAGGCTTTAAAGTTTTTTTGCGGCATAATTTTCCATACCCGATGTCTACGTGCATATCTATCTCTTATTTTAAGTATAGAAAATATGATATAGTGTAACTATAGTGTACCAAAGAACAGACTTCAATATTCACAATTTAGATTTAAGATAGAGCTTTATTTGCAATTTTATGTGCTAATGTTTTTCAGATGCAACATTGACGTCCGAACAATGCATTGTTGGAAATTCCGGAAAATAGTTCTTTTTAAATCTCAAATAAACTATATGATCTATTGCCATGAACATACTCTAAAACTGATCTCATTCATGTTTAATATCAATATCTTATGCTTTTTAATAGTAATATGTTAATATTACTATCAAAAGTATCAAACATCACGTTGTCAAACAATTTAACTTTGATCGCATTTTTACGTTTTCAGGAAGATTAAAAAGAATTATTTCCATCTGCTGGGGGATGTAAAAAGAACATATACGAAATAAAATATTGGATTATGTAGATATAAATATATTCATTTCAAGAACGTTGTGTGCCAGATGTTACACAATCTCCATTTTTTGCTGTTAATTTAATCCCAGGGTGTTGGTGTGGAAATCATGGTGCCGTCGCCCATGAATTTCTTGTACTACGTCCTACATTATATTTAATCCAGCTGTAAAACAAAGAAGACATATTTAGCTGTGTTAGAGCCCTTGTGTCTACATCGTAATGCATCAAAAAGACAGGATATATATTTACTTTCTTGAAACCAATATCGGCTGCATATTCCCTGAAGCACTGTCGACAGATGTTCAGGCCGTATTTACGAATAAGCCCATGTCTGTTTGCACAGGCGCGGCTGCAACAAAATCGATTTTATTCAGATCGCACAATACATACATTTGCACACCTAATATATATATATCTTATATATAATATAATATGTAATAAACATCATCTTGATTCGAGATTGATTTATTTATCTGCAATTATTTTATTTTCTGGATTTAAAACATTTTGGAACCAAAAAAGAAAAATTAACAATTTTAGTTTAACCAAAATGGATATTCAATAACATTTTTTTTTTATGTCTGTCTCTCCGGTTGGTGAGGACTGAAGCGTCTTCAACTTTCCGTTAGATTATATAGCCCATTTATTGTATTTAATCCACTATACAAGTATAATTTTCTAAATCTAAATTATTCTTCGTGTCTTTTCATTCAACAACGTGCATTTTTGAGGTTAGACTGCTTGTAGCTTGTAGCTTGCACAGGCGATAGTAATAATTAACGACGATACATACATACATACCACACGTATTTCGACTTTTTAATTGTTACATCAAATATTTCGCTTCAAATCGAGTTTTTGTGATTGATACTATGCGGCGATGTTCGGACCGACGCCATACGAACGTCCTACGGGATCGATCACTTTATTCCGCGTTATTTATCGAGCGAAAGTACTTACGTGCTAATAAAAGTTGGCGAGAACGAGAAGAGCGTTATACTAACCAGGACCTAGATCCTTGACCGTATTTTCGTGGGTGTGAGTACCAAATATTTTGAAAACCCATGTTTGCACGTGTCACTACGTTTCTCCTGCGACGAACTCACGAACGTGAAAGACAGGAAGCAGGAAATGATCGAGGAATGTGGCAGAAGAATCGATGAAACAGAGCAAACTCCACCATGCGGCAACTTTTAGAAATCCAATCTGACCTAACCTTCATGCCCGGTCACGTGAGCACGTTTCATAAACGGAAGGCGCTTATTTAGAATGCGTATAAATTTTCTACGTTTTTTTTCTTTTCACTTACATCAATGACACGGGAAATATAATGTTATAAGGTTTTTCAGATTTTAATATAAAATGTTATAATGTTAAGATTTTATTGTAGAACGAGTATATTTTGTATATCAATAACACAAGATGATTATAAAATTACTATGTATTTTTGAAATAAATCGATTTTAAAGAAATATTAACATATTAGTAACATTTATGTAAATACATTAAAAATGTACAAATTATTTTTGCATTTACTTACATTTAATATTAGATTTCTTTTAGACTTTTTAAAATTTTATAATAAATATGGAATTTAATTTTCAGGAGAAACGTGTATTTATTGGAATTTCTCGCATAAAATTCATTATTCATTAGAGAGAATATATTATCATTATGAGAATATTAATTCATTATTAGAGAGACTATTATTAATAGAGAGAAATTTTATTAGATATTGGAGAGAGAACGGTACGTCTCTTGTCAGAAAATTTCATAGATTCCTAAACTAAATATGAAATATTTAAAATTTGCAGATATTGATGAAGCACACGTGGAAAGTACGCATTAAATTCTTTTCTCGTGATTTTTTTTCGGATTTGAGTCTTTTGTAACATGTAAAAAATCTATACGTTTTAAATAATGATTTTCTGAAGAGATTGTAGCTCCTCCGTGTAGTTGCATGTAAAGAGAAACCGGTTTTTCACGGACTCTCCCACGTGGAAGGCAGTTGGTGGAGCGGGGATAAGTTACAACGGTACATACTTTCACATGATGTGCCGTTCAAAAGCAAACTCGTTGCGGACTGAACGATTGAGTTAATTCTAGTCCCGTTTAAATCAATATACTACTATGTCAAACGAAAAGAAGCGTGGAAAAGAGCAGGACAAAAAGGTACGAAATGCAAAAATTATTTAGAAACTATTTTTGCACTACATAATAACGATTTGATATTTAGGTCAATGCTGTAGGACAGTAACTAAAAATGTTAATCACGTCGATTTTTTTATCTGAAGATATTTGAAGATATTTTAACGTTTACTAAAATTATTATTAGTAGAATAAAGTATTAAATTTTATTTTTCCCTCGCTTTATCTTTAATTAGATTTAAGAAAGTTCTAACTGAGATAATACTATTACAGAGAACACAATGTGCCATGGAAAGACATATCATGAATCTGAAGGTGAAGACAGTGCTGAAGATTATTTTATCTTTTATAGTGGGTCCTCTGGTTCTTTACGGCATATTTTTCGTATGTCTGCGTTATCAAATACACTTGAGGCATCTGATCGAGAGACCGATAATAATAAACGAGGTTCGACCAAAATTCTGGATCTACGCCAAGAGCAACAACACCGGTTACCTGAAACACGTGTATGCAGTGCTCCAACGACTCGGCTTCCAGGAGGGCAATAACGAATCTGACTGGGATCTATTGTGGGCCCACGATTATCCGTTTCGTGTGTTGTCCGCGAGCTTGAATAACGTGCAACAGCATCAGCGAGTCAATCATTTCCCTGGTTGCGGCTACATCACGAATAAGGTCGAACTGTCGACGTCGCGTGGCGGCCGGTACATCCCGGCGGCGTTCAAGATGCCCGAGGATCGGAAAGCCTTCCTCGATTATGCTAAATTGAATCCAGCAAAGCGGTTCGTACAAAAGTTAAATGATCACCGGGGCATTCGCATTTGCAGCAGCAGTGACGCAAATTTCACCGCCGGCACATTCATCCAGGAGTTCATCGAGCGGCCGTTTCTTGTGAATGGTTACAAGTTCGACATAGGCGTGTACACCGTCATCACGTCTGTGGATCCGCTGCGGGTGTACATTTATAAGGGCGACGTGCTATTTCGTTTTTGTCCAGTTGAATATTACCCATTTGACCCAAAGATTTTGAACAAGTACGTGGTTGGCGATGATTATCTGCCGATTTGGAACGTGCCATCTTTGAAGAGATACTATACCGAACTCGGGCACTCGATGAAGGACTCATTCGACGCATACGTCAGGGAGCAAGGAAAAAATCCAGCGGAAATGTGGGACCGGGTGTATGACGCTATTCGGGAGGTCGCTCTGATGAAAGAGGCGCAGATCAAAGAGGTCTCCAAGCGTTTCGGCAACGGCAGAACGTTCTTCGAGCTTGTGAGATTCGACTTGGTTCTTGACGAGGATCTGAATGTCTACATGATGGAAGCGAATATGTCGCCGAATCTGTCCTCTGCGCATTATCCTCCGAATCAGTTACTCTATGAGCAGGTCATATTCAATACGTTCGCGCTAGTCGGTATCGCCAAGAGGACTAGAAAAGAATCCTTGAAAATAAGGTAAGTAGCACAAAGATCGATATATCAAGATTTCAAGAAATATAAATATTTCTAATAATGTAACTCTAGCCACCTAAAAAATACACAGTAGAATTATTTATATAGAAAATATTTATATTATTGGTGTATTAATGTTATAGTAATGAAAAGGAGGAAGAAATGGAAATAGCGAACAAGAATATCGTAGTGTTGCCAGAACTCTGTAAAAAATGCGACAATGACTGTTTTCGCGTAGAATGCCAATTGTGCCGACCATGCTTCACGTCGGAAACAAAACTCATTTTGACGCAGAGTTATCTTGAACATCAGAACCGGATGGATTTTCAAAGAATTTTCCCGCCGCCGATAGTAAGTCATGGTTTTTTTTTCGTATAGTCAGTCGTCTAAATTCTAATCGGATGTATTTTTGATAGACGAGGGATATGATGCTGAAGAATTACACACTGAGAAATCAATTGCTTATTAGATGGTACCAAGGAAAATGCGACGTAGACAAGACATGGTGCAGTTGATCATGAAATCAAAAGTATATCGCGAATCCTATGCAATATTTATTTCAAGTATATAAAACTGTATATATGTATAATGTATAAACAAGTAGGAACACTATGATATGAAACGTGTTCAGCATATACATGTAAAGTAAAAACGCGCGAATATTGAAGTTAATAATATTAATACTGTGTTCTAGTGGTTGTACATTGTACACATAGAATATAAGACCATGAAAATTATATACTGGAGCACAGCGTATTATGTAATGACTGAAAATATATTTTATATTCGTGTAATGTATACCAAATGAGAATGTACAAAAATGTTTCACATAAATTCAGAATTAAAAAAGCTGTTGCTCTCTGTTGACCAAGTTCCTTTAGCGTTACGTCCTTTTTTGACTTTTGGTTCAGGCGCGTTTGGATTGACGCCTTTATAAAAATTTTGGAGTAACCTCATGGCCTCCTCTCCTTTAACGTTTCCACGTATCACGATTTTCGGATCGTAAAACTTTGGTACTTGGAGAACACTGACGCAACCGCCAAATCGGTCGTTCGCACAACCGTACACAATACTGCGTACTTGTAGCTGAAGCAATGCCGACACACACATTATGCACGGCTCTACCGTGACAATTACATCTAAATTATGAAACACCGTTTCGTACGCCAGATGTTTCTCCGTACAGAACTTTAAGACTTGGTCGATGCAATTTATCTCGGCATGACGAGTTGCATTACAAGTTTCATTTACTGTATTATTGCCCGTTGCACGCACTTCGTTATTATATATAAATAAACAACCAACCGGGACTTCACCGGCTCTCAAAGATTCTTCAGCTTTTTGTAACGCAATGTCCATCCACGCCAAAATATCCATAATAAGTACTATTAAATATTATACTATATGGCGAGTTTGAGATATTTTTCAAAATCAATAATATAAGAAAGTTATTTTTTTTATAAAACTCACGTCATTCGTGAATTATTCTCTATTCTCTATAAAAAATATAAATGTTATCTTAAACGAAATAAACGAAAAAATCTATCGTCTGAAGTTTATATCTTGAAAAATAATTGTACCTTACGCAAGAGAAAGTTTAAACAGTAGTACTTGCTTTTTCAAAGTATTTAAGTAATTTTAATTCGTTTAGTCGTTGCATAGCCATTTCATTCCAATTTTGATTGCCTACAGCTCTTGGACTGGGGTGTCGCAGAACCATTACCTAAAAAACCCGTTTATGAGTGAGTATAAATTTTGTATTATGATTATACTATTAAAATAACTTGCACACATTACCTGTACTGAAAGACCTCCAGTCTGGACCGCACGCTGTGCTCTTTTTTCAGCGTAGTTGCCAATGCCAACAACGATCTCTGCTTTCAGGAGTTGTATTATATCTCGCAGGGCGTTGTCGCATAGCTCATGTAAAATCCTTTGTCCTTCGCCCTGCAAACGACAGATAGTTCAGCATAAGAAAAAAGGAACAGAACAGGCGAAATATTGCCTTTATTTCCGCAGGGGTGATGTTCCTAGCTCTGCCATCCATGAATGCGAATGGGCAGTAATTGTGCATGTATGCATATCGGAAAAAGTTTTCGGGACTTTCACACAAGTCTCGGAAGAGGCCCCACAACCTTAGTCCGCTGATCTCGCTGCGTGTACATTGGAATCCTATCACCTTTCGATCGGGATGTTCCTTCGAGGGTTTGCCAATGGGACCAGAGATTTCGAGCCAATCCCTCACCATACTTATTTCTCCGAATGGCACCCCGGTTTGCGACATGCCCCATGGTCCAGGATTCATACCAACGAACAAAATCTTCTTTATACCAGTACAGTACTTGCGTACATACATGGCATGCGTTTCAAATGCATACTCAAGCGGATTGTAAATATATTCGATGGACGACGGAAAAGAAACCTGTCGCAATTTGGTACAAAGCTCCTGTTCAATCGATAACAATCTATCGGAGATAGATGTGGATGTTGCAGACGTGTGCTCAACTGCATTTCCATTTTCTCCTGTATTAGAAGAATGAGCAGGTACTAGAGAGGGCTGCTCAGTTGTATCTTCTTTCGCTTCTGTATCAGAAACAGGTGCGGGCCGTACAGATGTACGTTTCTTTTTTCCATTTTCATCTGGATCTTGTTTAATTCCCAAAGTCGTTTGTATTTGGCTCATATAATCTACGACATTTGAATTTGATCGTTTGAGTTTTTTTTCGCTTGGCAACGCGTTGCTTTTTGCTCTGGTTCTCTTTGCACGAGGCATAATTATTCACGAGAGTCTGATGGAGCTATATAAGCTCAAGAGAGAATTATTTAAATATTATTTAAAAATATACTCAAGTTGCAGTCCTACATACAACTCACAATGTATGTAACTCACAACATCCTGGCTGTACAAATTAATGTATTATTAATTTAAAGACATGTATAAAGCACAACTCCAACGTTTCTTCAAGGTGTGGATATACGACATATCAATAAGAAAACTATGTTCAGCCTTCGAGATAAAACGATAATAACAGTAACTGCACAATTCTTTTTTCGTAACTTAATCTGATGAGATTAAAACTGATAAACATCACCGATTACTACAAGTGCAAGAAACCTTACTGTGCCATGTGCCTCGTGTGTAGGAATGCAGTTTTCCAATATCTTTCTCTCTCTCATCGCTCGTCGTTTCGTTTAGTCCGCGAAACGCATCCGAATTTTCCGAAAATATTTTCCGTTGCGCAGGTATACAAGAATACAAGGAAGCCTTTACTCACCTGTGTTATCCTGTCATGGTCATGAATAGTATGTATGTATGTACGCATACATTGGAATACACACGTCGCGTCGTAGCTTGCACCTTCTGTATCTCGTTTTTCCCGCCTTTCGAACTCTGGCTGCACTAGTTCAGAGTTCATCTTTTTTACTCCACATTGGAAGGAAAAAGATAAACTCTGAACTAGTGCAGCCAGCAGCCAGTTCAGCAATGGAAAACTGACCCTAGATACGCATCCGACATCCATCTCAGTTTGAGTGCAAAAAGTGTAGTAGTGTATGTACGAAGGTACACGTAAGGTCAATCCAGACAAACTTGCATAGCGCATAAGAGAATTGATTGGTCCATATGCATGTGCATAAGGAAATAGACCACGCAATTTTCTTATGCTTATGCGTTAAGGTGCGATTTCATTGACGCTAGAAACCAGCGGCAGCGTCAAGAAAATGTAGTGGGGGAAGAAGTTCAGACCGTCTCAACTTTTTAGAGTACCGCAAAATTCAACGAAACTTCTTTCCCCACTACATTTTCTTGACGCTGCCGCTGGTTTCTAGCGTCAATGAAATCGCACCTTTAAGGTGCGAATTCATGGGACGCTCGTTTCAGCGTATCGCGAGATCACGTGATTTCGATCTGACGCTAGCGTCAAGCAAAGAAAGCTGGATTTTCTCAGCTTTAAGCGTCAAAGCCAAAGCAGCGCGAAGACGCCGAAATTTTGACGCTGTTTTCCTTTTCATGAATTTCAATTGACGCCGGCGTCAATTGTGGTCATGCGACCTTCTTGCCGCTGAAAATGAGCGTCGAGCGTCAGCATGAAAAGGCACCTTTATGCGTTATGCAAAAGTCTGTGTTTCCCCCTGAATGTGGTTCTAGCATCTAACCGTATGAGCCATGATACATATCGCACGTGTTATTACAGTTAGATAATATTTATTTAATATAATATTACTTCTATCAGAGTTTCTCTCTGCTTCTATTACACGTTTTGAACAAATTAAAATTATTGTCTATTTATTATGTAAACAATAGAAAGTATCAATGTATCAAGAACTTATCTTTTCTGATAAAATTTGCTTATTTCTAAAAAGTTTCTGTGTTTTGTTACTTCGATCCCCAATCCTGCGCATCAAATATTTTTTATACATGAAAAGTTGTGTAGAGTGTAGAATAGTTTGCATATACATGAAAAAACTATAACGCCTGGTCTACAATGGATGTATTAAGTCTAAGTCGTAAGTCGTAAGAATTGGCCAATCACAGTCGATTATTCTCCTAAAATTCGATTGTGATTGGCCAATTCTTATGACTTACGACTTAGACTTAATACATCCATTGTAGACCAGGCTTAATACGTGCGGGCGCTACTCATAATCTGATCGTTTAAATACGATTTTGAAATACTAACAATAAATGATCATTGTATGTTGGTTGAATGAGATCTTAAGATGACTTAATAAAGCCTACTGACTATTAATCAAAGCGCAGCCGACTTAAATCGATTTGAAACATAAAATCGGAATAAATACTGCACTGCGTAATCCATAATGAAAGACGTACGTCGTACTGCTACTTATGTTTTTTAAATTCTAAATGATGATTGAGGCTGATTTTGGCGATTGATGAGAGTATGCGTTTTACACGTCTGCAAATTCATGAATAGACTTTAATTTACATTCGTAGTGCGTGTGTGGTGTGTATGTTTATATGGGCAGATTCCAGAAATCAGAAATGGCCAGAAATGGCGTCCGATAGACGAGGTACTCAGTTGAAACGGAACGTGGTTGATACTGGGAGCGACTCGGATAATGAAACAGAAAGTGAGTGTGTGCAGTTTTGCATGATCAAGTATTGTTAGTGATTTAAATTAATACGTTTTAGATGCACATTGCGGCTTTAATAAAATACAAGAAAATGCTGTTTACACAGCACACTTTGAGGTTAAATAACGTTTGCCATGATTTTCCTTGCCTTTACACAAGAATTTTTATAATAGTATACTTAATATTTATAGTTAACATTTATTGAAAAAGTAAAACAACCGATAGTGTCACATATTTACTCTGTGTTTACATATTTATAACACGTAGATCGTAGTTGAAAATATAACCTAAGATATCTCACAGGTGTATTTTTTTCTGTTGCAGGGAATGCAAAGCATGTGAAAATGAAATCAGAGGCACCACGACTGTGTCCGTACTTGGATACGATTAATCGGCACGTTTTGGATTTTGATTTTGAAAAATTATGCTCCGTATCACTGTCCAGGATCAATGTATACGCTTGTCTGGTTTGCGGCAAATACTTCCAAGGCAGGGGAACTAATACCCACGCTTACACACATAGCGTGGCAGAGAGTCATCATGTCTTTCTTAATTTACACACACTCAAATTTTATTGTTTACCAGATAATTACGAGATAGTGGGTAAGTAAAGCTATATTTTGTTTTTGTGTCTTTGTTCTTCAGCGACTAAACGTTCACGTGTTTCGTAGATTCGTCCTTGGATGATATCAAATATGTATTAAATCCAACCTTCGACAAAATGCAAATAGCCCACGTAGACAAGAGCGATAAACAGTCTAGAGCAATCGACGGCTCTATGTATTCGCCGGGAATAGTAGGCATGAATAACATAAAAGCGAATGATTACTGCAACGTCATTTTACAAGTACGTTATACGTAAATAAATGCGAGTATTTGTTGATATCGATATTCTGTGCATTTTGTGACGTCGATATTTTATAGGCGCTTTCGCACGTGACACCTCTGAGAGATTTCTTTTTACGAGAGTCCAACTATTTCCATGTAAGGAGACCACCTGGTGATTCGTCGTATCTTTTGGTACAAAGGTTTGGAGAGCTTATGCGCAAATTATGGAACCCACGTAATTTCAAAGCGCACGTAAGTCCTCATGAAATGCTGCAAGCGGTAGTTTTGTGGAGTAAAAAAAGATTTCAGTTCACGGAGCAAGGTGCGTAGCGGACGTTGTCAACTAATACTTTTCGATATATTTAAACTCCTATTGTTTTTACCACGAAGTCACTGTTTAGGCGATCCGGTGGATTTTTTATCATGGTTCCTAAATGCTCTCCATCTGGCGTTAAACGGTACAAAGAAGCGTGCGTCTAGCATAATATATAAAACATTTTTGGGTCATATGCGGATATATACGCGGAAGATTCCGCCGTTGGAATTAGAAGAGAGCCAAAGAAGCGAATTATTGAACACGGTGGAGTATGGCGAGACTGTGACGGAAAGTCCATTTTTATATCTCACTTGCGATCTTCCGCCACCTCCATTATTTAAAGATCAATTTACGGAGAATATTATTCCACAGGTCGGTATTCTATCCAGGAATCGTGATCACGTAAATAGAATGTAGAAAAAGGATTAAACGTCACCTTTTATTTACCCAGGTAAATCTGTACACGCTTTTGAACAAATTTAACGCCGTCACTGAGAAAGAATATAAAACTTACAAGGAAAATTTCATGAAAAGATTTGAGATTACCGAGCTGCCACCATATCTCATACTTTACATAAAAGTAAGTGCTGCTTCATGTGCTGTTAGGATGGATATATTTTGCGTTATCTGATAATTTTTTATTGGTTACAGAGATTCACAAAAAATACATTTTTTGTTGAAAAGAATCCAACAATTGTGAATTTTCCCGTTAAGTGAGTATATATGATATTTTTTGCTTTGTGGACTTTTATATATTAAAAAAATTCGTGTTAACAGTGTTCAGTTATATAAATCCTGGTTATGTTATATTGCAGAAATGTCGATTTCGGAGATATTTTAACACCGGAAGTAAAAGCCAAGCATCCATATACAACGTACGATCTAGTAGCCAATATAGTACACGATGGTGAACCTGGTCAAGGAACGTATAGAGTCCATATTTTGCATAGAGCCACTGGTCAATGGTACGAATTGCAAGATTTGCACGTCACTCAAATTTTGCCCCAAATGATCACTCTTACCGAAGCATATATACAGGTGAATAAACGGAGAGAGCATTTGCTTTTTTTTGTAATTTACGATATTTAAATAACCACTTATACTTTCTTTTTACAGATTTATGAATTAAAGAAAGACGCGCACATGGAAAACGGAGATAATAAAAATAAAAAAACTATGTGATACGCTTAAAGTTCGAAAATATGAAAATAAAAATTTACATTTTATCTACGCAGACTTCACCTTAATTTTTTGATATTTCCATAATAAACTCGCAATTTTTTTGTTACTTTCATTTTTCTCACGTGTCTCCATTATCATGTCTATTACATACAGATAATCCTCGACAGTGAGTTTCTTTATCTGAATTCTTTATTTATTAATACATTTTCTCTTTTCATAATAATTTGTTAACAAATTAAATTATTTACAATTATATATTCACGTTCTCAATATCAAAAGGATGTTGCTTTTAATTTTGTAATAATAAAGGACGAGTTATTAACCTTAAAATCATTAATATTATTTTACATTATGAAAACGTTCAACTCACAATTATAGTACATAAAAGATTGCATTTTTCCTTCTGTAAAATTTAAATAGAGACATTCGCTTGGCTCGTGGTTTGAATTGCGGCCGAGCGGTGCCGAGCGATACCGAATATGCCGAATGGCTTGACGACGTAGGAGGAAGACGGGGAGAGGCGGAGCCGCACGGAGAGGCCCGAGTCCGAGCGAGTGTCGTCGAACGTCGAATCGGAGCAAGTCGCGAGTCGCGAGTCGCGAGTCTGCCGGAGTTGGTGACGGTGACGGAGCGGAGACGCAAGCCGCAAGTGCCGCGACCGGCCATGCGAAGCACGCGTGAGTGAACGTGTGTCGCGCGCGTCGCGTTCCCCGCGCTTTTCGTCCGTCAAGACGTGCCACTCTCTTCTTCTCTCTCTTTCTCTGTTACATTTTCTCTTTTCTCGTTGCTTCGCTCGTTGGGTTGGCGTCGCGTAGGATCGCGCGGCGCGGCGCGGCGCGGCGCGGCGATACGGTTCGCGCGCGCCGTTACGAGCGCACAGCGCACGCATCGCAGCTGCGGGGTGCGGGCCGAGTCGCCGAGTGTTCCGCGAGTGTTGATCGCTTTGTATTCATCCTCGTTGCATCCGTCACGTGGATTATCGCCGGCCCGACAAGACAGAGGACGGAGGATCACGCCGGGGGACCTTCGCTCGACCGCACGTCACGTACGCCGTACGCCCCGCACGGTGAGTCTACATTCTATTCTTGCGACGAAAAGCGACGAAAGGCGAGGAGAGGCGACGGCGACGACATTTCGAACGGGCGCCTCGCGCCTCGCGCTCTATCGGCTGTCCGCTAATTCCGCTATCCGTCTTTCGCGATGCCGTTTTCCGTCGATCCCCGTCTCGCGCGAACACGCAGAAGCGAAAAAGACGTTTGAAACTCGCTGCCCGCCACTGCCCGCGGCGGCGGCGGCGGCGGCGGCGGCAACGGTTGTGTCGGCTGTGTCCTTCGCGTTCGTGCCCTTCCCGCGGTGCATTCTGCAACGTCGTCGGTCGTCCGCGCCTTCCCTCCTGCTCCTTTTTCTTTTTCCGGGAATTTCTCGGCTCTACGTTTTCATGTTTTATTCCCGCGCAGCGCGGCGCGGCGCGGCGTGGCGCCCGATCGTAAATCGCAACTCGGTGACGGCGACGCACCGATGTCCGATATCCGCGAGTGCCGAGTGCGCCGAGTGAAGATACTTTTACCTAACCTACCTGTCCGTTCCCCCTTACCTCGCCGTCGCACGCGACGTCGAATACCGAATACCTGTTTCGCGCGATGCTCGAAAAAACTGTTCGATCGCGTGGCCGCGGAGGAGCAAGATGGAACGGGCCGAGGACTGCGAGGATTGCGAGGAGGGCGGGTGGGAGCCGGGAGGAGAGGCGGTCCGTTGACTCTCGCGGAAGGATTCCGCGAGTTTCGGATTCCTAGCGTCCCGCGACCGCCCGCGCCGCGCCGTACGTCGCGCTCGCGTAAACTCGTTTCTGCGCGCGGATGACGAATAAATTAAATTGAATAATCCACGTCTGTGTTGTTTCGTACATGCTTATCTACGTGTAAGATTTCGGAGTCGCAGCGTGCGGTCTCGGAAAACCTGGATATTCTCTTGCACGTGCATCTCTCGACACTCATTGTCAGGGTTAAAGGCGTGACTCGTCTATTAGTATTAGTCTATTCCTATTTGGACGGGACGACTTCGTGCTGCCTGACGTTGCACGATGTTGCTTCGATGTGTTGGACGTTGTAACGTCGCCGTCGCGACGCGTCGCCGTCGTACTTGAGCTAGAAAGTATTAAGTATTCTACGTCCTTGTGCGAAATACGTGTTGGTTGTTGGTTGTCATATATGACAATCTTCATCTTCGTCGTACGTTGCTTGATGCTAACGTAGCATCTACCATGTACGAGACGCGCTGTTACGAAAAAATCTGCAAAATGCACTATATTTTGCATATATATTGCTGGTACTCGCGATATGTGACCCGAATACCGCGTACGGCACGTCAACGGCACTGTTGTTACAATCTAGATTTACAATTTACGTTATAGCGCTTATAAAGAATTGAAAAATGTCAGATATCAATGTTAAACAGATACTTATTTGAATAACAGGTAGTGACACTAGTGACATGAACAAAAATACGATACACGTACGCAAACGTAGAAGTCGCGTTAAGAATAGCGTACAAGCTGGCCTTGTATACGTTATCTTGGAAAAATGGTTTCGTAAGCTTTAAGTAGGTTCTTTTCACTCGATATGTAGATTTAATATGTCTTTGATATTTGACTCTTTAGTAAAAATACTTTTATTCTTATCATATTACGTAAATCGAGACGTAAATGAATAATATCATTTATAATAACGAATAAGAAGATACACATTTAATAGTACACGTGATATTAAAAGTATATGCATAATATATCGAAGATATTACGTTTGTCTACTTCTTACGCGTGGTCGAGAGTTATGGATAAATCTTGAATTAATTATAGGATATAAAATCCGTTAAAAACTGGTTGAGCTTCTCGAATACAGGTTTGTCTCAAGTCCGAATAATCTTGGCACGTTTCTGAAGGTAAATTTTTACGTGGGTGTGCGGCAATATTGTCTAATCACGTAACGTACGTACATGAAGATTCGTCATCACGTGGCATTCGCGGAAATGACAGAGACATTTTCACGATGGTAACATTAATCACTCCTGTGTCTTAATAGAAATCCTGATTAATGGAACGATATACATGCTGCATCAAGCGATTTTTTACTTATTTTTTTTATTTGCAAAAAAAATTTGAAGCGATTCAAAAGTTTGTCTAGAATTATTAACTACAAAGAATATTTTTGAATTATTAATTACAAACATATTGCGATATCTTTTATTAATTGCAAGTTTTAGTCTCCTAAAATTTTATTTAATAAATTTCTCTCGTTTAAAGATTTATCGTGATTGTATAAACAAGAAATTGAAGTCTTTTTCAATATAAAAGGAAGCAAACGTTTTTAGATGTACCTTTCAGAAGCCAAACTAATCAACTCCACTTTTTATCACGTTCTTAATTTTAGTACCAAAGTACATGGAGAGTTTATAACTTAACTTATAATGTGTAATATTATAAGTTAATATTATAATATTAATTTTCTCTATTTTCTATTTTATAAAGTTGATCAAGTTGGCTTCTGAGAATCTCGTATACCTACTCGCTTACGTCGATCGTGCAAATAAGTTCGTGAGAGAATCAAATTAAGAAATGTCGGATGTAACGTAACGTAATACGAAAATTTAAATAAGATAAAGAAGGGAAACAAGGAAGCGTGAGATTTACTCGAGTAGATCGCAACGGCAGGTGGCCGGCTATGCAACATAGACATACACACGTACCTGACTACCTGTAATTGAACCTGATGGTGATGATGCCTCGCGAGGCCGCGAGATACCGGCGAATTGGGTTATCCGAGTCACGGTTTCGTAGAGATTATTACGCGCATGCAGATGCGTCTCGAGTGTAGCGATTAACGTAAACTCTAAAGCCGCTGAGATATCTGCTTGAAAGTCACTTATTTTTCGAGAGCGACTTTCCAACGACAGCTTTGTGATAGACATGGTATTGACGGCGATACTCGATTATCGCATTCTCAAGAGGTTCTTACCGCTAACCGAGAATAAAATTCTCAAGAGAGCATCCGTTTTAAGCGCTGCGGACTGTGTATATAACATTTTGTAATATATAAAATATGTTATAATGAAAGAATTAAATGAAATTAAGAAAATGTTGTTTAGCACATGTTAATTTGATATTTTTTAGTGCAGTTTGTATAATAATATTTATTAATTTTTAATCAGATTTTTTGATTATTTAATGTACAATATAGTAAAATAGAGATGTAATAGAGAGAAGTTTTAACATAAATTTTTCGTCTAATTTTTGTGAATGCTTTGAATTTTTCCAAGTGACCTAAAACCGTCCATGAAGCGGAACAAACAAGCGCAACGTGTCTTCCTTAAATTTCGGAATCTAGGGCGATCGTTCATGAAACTGATACCTTTCACAATTCAAGTCCAATCGAATTAACGTTTATTATTCTTCGTTTGGCGAAGAACGTGAAATGTGATCCTCTTATTCTTCTTTTTTGCGAAAATACCGCGAAACGTATTAATCGTATTATTGAATAGAGAACTACAATATCTCGTTAATTTTGGTATTTTGCTATTTCTTGGCACGCATCTAACTTTTACGAAATATAAAATCGTCTACTTATCGATACACATATACATATATCTGGAGGATTTTTATGGCATCCGGGAGAAGCCCGCGCGTGTCGATAATTTATTTTCTCTTAAGTGCTTTTCCCGCATGAAGAGAGAGTACCTTACGCGGTGATTAGGAGTTGAAGGGACGTCATGTTGTGACTCGTTGTGAATTGTATATACGAGGTACTATTCTCATTTACGCAATGCACTACGGGATGGAAACAATACAGCGCGCTACCGTGCCTCGCCAGCTCCTTAGACGCCGAAAAAGAAAAAGAGGATTTCGCGGCTGTCATCGCCGAGTCTGCATATTTGCTGTTTCAACGAGTCGTTAAATTCGTGACGCTTAGGTGCAACTAAAAGACACGGATTGCAATGATGTGCAAAGAACGCGCAAAGCTATTCGGGACCTCGCACTCTCATGCTCGATATAAAAC